TTTTTGTCTGCACTATCAACGCTCCAACCCTCACAGTGCCGTGGGGGGGGGGCTCCTCTACGTGGATATCGTTCATGAGAACTTGTCTGCCTTCTGGCTTGATGAACTCTCATGTTTTTACAACGCTTTGTAACTGGTCCAGCTTAGACAAGTACCATCGTTGAGGTGTTTCTACAATCATGTGCATGCCCAAACAATACTCCGTCCAAGGATTACTCACTGTTTTCCTTTGAGAATCAGTTTGTTTTTCTATTAGGTCCGTATATCCATGACTCCGTGCACCATAGATCTGTGACGTCAGCCTTTCCTCTCCATGTGTTGGGGTCGTTCACAGTTGACCTTGACGGCTCATCAAGTCGTCGTGGCTTTCCAGCTGTTGCAGCAGTCCTTTCTTTCTGTCCGGGGCGGCACTTTTCTTTTTCTCATTAATGCAAATGGCTGTGAGGGGACCAAAAGCTCCAAGGTGCTCTCAAGCCAAGGTACCATCCATCCATCTTCCAGTGTGATGCCCACTCTGAGATCGCCCTTCCTTCTGCAAGAACAGTTAAAGGCTGCACTCTTTAAAAACACCTGCTCGGGTTTTTTTCTTTGTGTGAAAACAAAAGGCACCTGTGCTACCTGAGGTGAAGCTTTGTGGGAGAGTTTGGTCACCACGGGCTCGGTTTTATGTTTAACAGAGGAGTGATCATCAATGGGTAGAGGAGGAGCGCAGAGGGTGACTGAGTGACTACCAGCCAAAACAACAGACGTGATGGATGACTTTAATAACTTCTGGCTGTTTTTTAGTGTCCTCCAGGATTTGTTGTTATTAAGATCTAACCTTATTATGATGACCACCTCCTTCACCAACTCCCACATCCCGCTGGGCGTCAGTACAGACAGTTAAAACAAACACAAAGTCTAAAGCCCCCCCCAACCCCCGTACTTGTGCTGATGTGGAGCTTGTTGATGGTGTCAGTGTGTCTAAGTCCCAACCATGAAACATGTGGCTTCATGATAATCAGCAGTGAGAAGAAACGATACATCCCGCTCAGTGATCACCTGCACATTAGAGCCTGTGGCCGTCCGACGCCACCGCGCTAAACGCTGGATTGCAAGAGCGCGTCTTAGGCGAACGGCATTTGATGGCTTTAATAAGCGTTTCCATTAGGAAAGGCAGGAAGGAGAAAGATAAGCTCGTTGGGAATACACGTAGGACCACGGGAGTCGTAAGACCTCATCGCTGCTGAGAAAAACAAAATGAGAACATTTTATTGTTCTTCCATTTCTTTCAAAAAAATAATAATCCCAATCGCTCCGTCCTTGAGTGTGTCTAAGTAGCTCCGAGCTTCATCGCGAGCAGAGATTTGGAGAGGCTCCATGTTTTATTAATTTGCAGATGAGCTCAGCTACTGATGGGTCCGGCCCCGCCGGTGGGTTCAATTAGGGCAACAGAGGGAGCGGGGGGGGGGGGGGGGGGCAGCTTATGGGCGGCCATTTAAGGGAGGGTATATATCTCTTCCTGGCAGTTACGGTCCGAATGCGACAAATTGCACCTCGGTTGGCCGTGAGCGGCGCCACATCAGCCCCGCTGGCCAAGAAGCACGCACGTGGGCGGGTCCGGCCATGCGGAGTCGCTCAACCGGCCCGAGCGAGACTGTAACGACGCTGCTCCTGAGTGCAGCCCCATTCCCCCATTCAGTTAATAGAGGCCATTTAGGAAAACCGCGGCCCGCGCGGCGGCGCGCTGAGTGCAGGCTCGACCCGGGCCAAGCCTAAACAGTCCCACTTAGCACGACTCTGTCTAAACTATTGCGTTCCCTCTCTCCGGCACTCTCCGGGTTTGAAAGCCTGTTAGTGTTGACGGCTGAGGAGGAAGAAAAGGGGCACCGCATACTCGACGCGATTTACAAATACAAGACGGGGGCGAGGGGTGGGGAGAAGGGGGTGAATTATTCCAGCAAACCACCATAAAAGGAGGAACGGTCGTGGCCCGAATGCGGGGCGAGAAACTTCTCGCAGCCTTTCTTTCTGTGGGCGAACATTTATTATGATTGATCGAGGCCTTGACTGTAACTTTGCTGTGCGATGAAAACAGTCTACTGTACATTGTCTCCGGTGCACATTGTGTGAAATTGAATAGGGAGGCCATAAAGTGGAACTGGGGACCCTGACCCGAGCCCGCCGAGCCCGTCAGCTATCCAGCCTTTTCGGCTCGGGCCGTTCAAGGCGTCGCAACCTGCGAGCAGCTCTGTGCAGAGCGGCCGGGCTTTGTTGTGCTTTCACTCTCTCTCTCTCTCTCCGTCGGGCCGGATGCAAGTTTGTGCCCCAGTCAGTGAGAAGACCCAGCAGGCCTCTCCAAGCGCGAGCAAAAAAACAGAACCTCCATAACGAATTAAGAATTTCTGAAAAAGCAGCATGAAACACTTGTTTAATCCGAGTGGCCTTAAGTGGCCCAATGCAGGATGAAAATGAAGGGGGAAAACCCCCCCCCCCCCCCCATCATCAACCGAATATCTATCCATTTTAGCTCCTGACCCGTGAAGTACTTCATCATCCTGACTCGCTAACCCTTCCCTCTCTCTCCGCGTTCGCCTGCCTCAGCTTTCCCTACCCCCCCCCCTGCTCCAGCCAGGCCGGGTCAATGGGGCACCGCTAATGCGCTCGGTGGTTCATTAATTCTCCGGACGGTAATGGGGACATCAGAGCAGACGAGCTTTGTTGTATGATTTGGTGCGAAATAGTGGTGGGGAGGCCAAGCAGATGTTTGCGTTGGCTGGTGAGGGGAAAGCGATACACTTGATGCCAATCCAGTCCCCCCCCCCCCCACCACCCGTGCCCCCGTCCCACGCTTGGCAACAGCTGCCCATGTGCATTTCAACCAAAGTCGGGCAAAGAGAAGCAGAAGAAGAAGGGTCAGCTTTAGCTTCCTTTTTTCCTTCTCCTTTCCTCGGGTTGTTTCGGCCTCGCTACCATTCATGGTTTTAGATTTACCACTTAGTCAAAGGGCTGTCCGGGGACCAATTTGTCAATTTCTTTTCCAAAATAATCATAAAAGTGCTCAAGTGAGGCTGGAGGTGATCCAGACACTGCTAAAGCTAAAACACACAGTGGTTTGTCTGTCTATGTTGCGTGTAGCTGACGTTCAATGTGCCTTTTTGCCTTTGAGGAGCGATGGGAATCTTAGCAGAGAGGACAAAGAAAAGGAAGCAGAGACTAACCCAGATTTCTTTTTCCGCTTTCCACGGTAAAAATAAAACAATGTATGCGCATACATAGACCCCAGAACAAGGACAGTTCATTTAACTCTCTCCTGCCCCTCCACTCAACTGATATGAGCCATTCATCACCGCCCACCTTCATATCTGTGTGCTGCCTGCAGAGGACAGTAAGTGTGTGTGTGTGTGTGTGTGTAAGAAAACAGATTAAAGATAATCTTCCACGTACCCCACACGTTTTGACCCTTTTGTAGAATCCCCCAGCTTTTATGAGGTGTAGACCGCGAGGAATATGGTTTGTGTACAGTTACCACTCAGAGTGTGCTGCCCCCTACAGCTCCTTTCATGAATATCTGGACAATGCGAGTACTTATACCTAAGAATACTGTGCTGTATCGATGATTTTGAGTCTATTTTCCAGTAGAATTACAGATCAACCTTTTATCCAGAATCAGATGTATTTAAATGGAGTCAACACATCGATCCTTATGAGTCCGTGTGTTTATTGGTATCTACTTCACACATGGAGGGTTTAATGCGAGGAATGGGAGTATTTGGGCCCACGACCTGTTTAAAGTTTGGACAAACACCGTGCTGGCCAGCAGCACAGAGGGGGGGGGGGGCTTCACGGCTCTGCAGAGTCCAACATGTCTGCAGGAAGCCGTCACCTCCTTTGGCTGCTGGATGCTGGCTTTGCTGGACACAGCCCGCTAATGTCGAATGGGTTCTGGATGTAATAACGTTAAATGGATGACTGGTCAAATGTTACAACAGGACTGTGGGAACGTTAAATCAAGCGAGTCATTTAGATGTTATCTTGTCGAGCCAAAGCAGAGTCTACTTAACCTGTAACATTTCTTCATTGGCTTTTTTTGGGTAAAAAGTAAAGTACACAGTATGTGAGCTCTATAGCGGAGTAGCACATGGTGGAAGTACACAGAAGTTGTTTACAAAAGCCTAACCGGGTACTTTGGCATCTACATTGAATAGACATTTAAGGTTAAATCATTTTTTTTTTTTCAATATTCCATTTTTTTTTTCTCCAACTGAATTTTGGATCATCACCATGAAAATATTCATCCAAGAGGCTTCGAATTACAGCCGCGCCATTTTAGTTACACAGCATTTAGTTGACGCCAACGTGACGTTTGCTTTAAGGTACAAAGGCCTCCGAGGAAGAGGCTTAGCCAAGATGAAAGGTTCACTTACGACTCATTAATTGTCCCCCTCTGTACGTTTCTGTAGTGCGTGTTTCAAGATAATGAGAAGGCATGCACCTGAGAAAAAGAAGAGACCTCCATCGTCAAGATCCGGTAATCCTGAATTATCCGTGGCTCATTTGTCATCTCTTACTTAGTAGAGGTAGACCGGGGGAATCAAAAGGCGGCGAGTAATGAGGACCCAAGGAAGCTGGCAAGGTAACCGTGGTTACATGTGGTGCATTAATGTATGTAATCTGTTACTGTGTCTGAGACAAGACAAGGACGCGTAGTTTGCTAATTAAAGAGCCTTCCACTGCTCGTCGCTACGACACAGGTCACATCTCTTTAATGACTGTCTCCATGCATGGGGGAGGCATTCATTACTGGACATTTGGAGTAAAAAAGGAGGACGTGAGATGGAGGCAATTCCTGTTTACACATACAGCACGTAACATGCAAAGCTGAAAGGAATTTTCTGAAAGAGGAACAGCATGAATAGACACATTCTACTAGTGTAACCTTGAGAGACTTTTGATTTTCTTGTTAAAGGGCCAAATGCAGATTATTAAAAAAAAAAAGAAGAAAAAAAAAAGAGTTAACGTATTTTTTCGAAAACATTCATTTTTATTTTTTCAAATGAAGGGGTATTTACAAAAAAATGGTCAATGGCAAAGGCTAATGTAATTTACAATCCTAAATACAAAAAAATATATATCATTGGAAAAAAAATAAACCACATCTTGAAAATGCTTTCATATCCGACACACCAGTCCGTGAAAAACTAAAATGCTGAGCTCACTCCCGGGATGAGGCTTCGGCAGCGACCCCAATCCTGGTTCATGAAAAAGGAATGACGCACAGCCTTATGGTCAGTGCTTGTACCTGGATGTTCAGTGCACACACACACACACACACACACACACACACACACACACACACACCTACCAGTGAATGGTAGTGCAGAGAAAGGCTATTAAAAAAAACAAAAAAGTTTTTTTTTTAGTGGCTCCGGTAATATTGCAAACAAAGCCTTGGGAATGTCTTTTTGTTCCTAATTGCTGTAATTGTCTTCTCTCATAATCTCAACATTGCAAGCTTTGTTATCATGGTCAATTTTGACATCAATTTGTACTCATTATTATAAAGACGTGACGACGTTGCCATTTTCTACGATCAATAAACACAAGGCGATTTCTGCCTGAAATGGCTTTGTGTCAAAAGGTCATCGTGCTGGTACATAACTGCTGACAACCACAGGTGCTCCCTCACTCTCTATATGAGATATCATAGTGCTATTACATGGCACCTCTCTATGGTTGTCAATCCGTTCCTAATAATGTGTACTTTTTGTATGTCAAATATGAGCATTTACATTTACTTACGGACGATTGTTTCCTTCTTACAACCGAACGTTATTCTTCAATGATTATGAGAAGACGAGATGTGTTACGTCAGGCTCACAAAATGAAGTCATCACAAGAAAACAAAAGGATTCTTGTGTCCATATGATGAAATAATTTGTCTATTCCACGAAAAGAAGAAAATAAAACCGCCGGAGAGCAAAACCAGTGCATACCACTGCCAACAATGCACAATATTTTTATAATTAACTATTATACAATTCAATTCTGCATCAGGACCAACAAATATACTGTGATAATCGTTAAATATGGTATATATGCACCACATTTCTTCAAGCGTGGAAATTGGCACATGTGTCTGCGCTAAATCCAAATCCATGGTCTGCCACTTCACTAAATTCAACTCATGTCTAAACTCTAAACTAACAAAATGAGGACATGAAACATAGCCTCAAGTTAACACCCATGGCTTCTACAGATCCTTGTTGGGGGAGAGCGGGGGGGGGGGTCCCTGCCTGAATATGAAAGCAAATGAGCAGTCCAAGACAAGTGCAAATCCTCCCTGAGACTGGTCCATGAACTTACACAGACATCAGATTCAGCATTATACGCCCCATGTACTCTACTAAGAGACTTAATGAGTCACACTGACCGGCCTAAAAATTGTGTTTGGTGCAATTACTGCCGCTCCAGTAGCACTGTTTTCATACAACATTTAAAACAAAACCCAGAGGGAGTCGTCGTCGTCATCATCATCATCGTCGATTGGCCACAATAAGGCTCAGAGAGCAGCGCCGCATTGGTCAGAAATCCAGCGGATCACAAAAATGTTTTGAGTTGATCACACAAGTATTATTGCTGAAAGGATGATGCTTTTGATTTATTTGAATGAAGAACCTCCCCCCCCCCACCCCTCTCCAGATACCTGACCAGGTGCTGGTCTCCATCCACAGATCTGTGGACATCACAGTAACTGGAGATGGGTGGGAGGAGCCGAGGGAAGTGAATCGGCATGTGGTGCTCCGGCCTGCCTCGGGGACTCAAGGAGAGACATCAGGTCGTCATGTGTCTCTGAGCTGACATCGGCTCTGCAGGCTCTGGAAGTGGGCATGCTTCAGGATGCGGTTGATCTGCTGATAGGACACCAGGCTCGGAGGGCCGGCCAGCTCCGAGGGGTCGCCGTAGTTGAGGGGACTGCAGGGGCCGGCGGCACACTGACTGCCACAGCTGCCAGCCGGATGCCCTGGACTGCTGCTGCTCTCGCTGATCGAGGACTGGAACACAGTTGGCAAACGTTCTTCAGTTAAGTTGCTGGAGTTAAAAAAAAAAGGTCAAACTGTGCAAAGTCGGCTTAGAAAAGAAGTCTCTGAAAATGTGTGGTAGGACCAACCACAGAAGCATGGATGCAAATGCTAAACTACTAATGAATCCACCCGTTATTCCACCAAGTTATTATTAGTATTCGGGTCTTTTTGGGAAAGATTCTTCGGTAACAAAAAGTAAGGCATTGACGCCTACATGCGAGTGCGGCAAGATTACAGTGTGTTGCATTAACCCTAATCACAAAGAGCAAACTGTCACATGGAAAAAGGACACGTGGACAATAAAGGTAGAAGACACCATTTCACTATAAACAATGAAATGTCCCTGGACACATGCTTGTACCTCAGAGTCCCAGGCATCCCGACCTGGCTCAGGAGACAGAGGATGAGCTCTGCTTTGCCTTTTGGCCTGAGGCACGAGGTGGCCATTCTCCTCCTCATCAGCACCGCTGCGCTGCCGTTTCCTGTTAGGATACGAAGCACAGTTGCAGGTTTTAAACACGGGCTACAAAAACACGGCGCGTGCCACCTGGCACGCATCAACGTGGCAGTAACCCATTTGTGGCGCACATTGTTCAGTGACAGCGAGCAGGTTAACACGGGCCATTGTTACGATACAGACCAACGTTTGTTTCTAGCGGCAACTCGTCACTTTAAGCGTTAATACAAAATGTGTTGTGCAACTCGCTCACCTGTTTTCAGTCAACATATGATGACACTAAATCGATCTCGACGAGTTGCCTTCGTCTTTTGTTCTGACCGGAGTGAAGAACCCGACCGGTTGACGTGATCGACGTGTTAGCTGGTTCCCTGCCAGTCGGTGGCCTATCAGCTGGGTTAGCTAACTACCTTTCCCCACCTAGCTAATTGTCCTCAATGCCGACGTGATACTGTAAGCCATCTTGGCAACACTGAAATACTATCAGATGTAACGTTAATTAACTTAACGGTAACTGGGCATTAGTCAGTTAATTACGTTGATTGGACGATCTCGAGCTGGTGTTACGAAAGCTAACTTAGGTCACTTGAAAAGCCAGTCACGGTTCCAAGCTAACGTCGCCGCTGGCTAATCTTTATGGCGGATGCTCCTGATTAGCTGATCACAGAACATACTGGAAATGAAATACCTGGTTTCTTTGGTACCAGCCTAACAATTTTAACGCCAGTGCCCAAGTAAAAAAATAAACCTCGTTTAGTTCAACCCGGCTAGCTAGAACAGCCTAAGCTAAAACCAAACCACAACCAACCGCGGCAGTTGTGTTTACATGGAACTGCGGCTGCGCAGTGATGCATTTAAGTTCCGTCGGAGATGATTGTTATAGAACGCTTGTTACATATTTAGAACAGAGTTTGCTGTAGCATCGGGCATGTCGCAGAAGTGTACCAAGTAAAATAGTCAAATCAAAGCGATTGACACCTCAATTCTATGTTTTAGTTGTATGTATGACGTACGATGTGAAGGGCGGTGGAGGCTGATGAAAGAGGGGACTTACCAATAGCACCCGAAGGCATCATATACTCACAAAGGCGGACTTGCAACGACGTCTGTGTACATCACAAAGCACAAAAGCACCCTGGTACATTATTTTGTTTCTACAATAAAGACATAATTAATCATAATCCGATACAACAGGTGAGTCAATTATAGGGAAAATGAAGACAATTTAATTGACACATATAGGCCACAGTATTCAGTTTGCCTGAAGATGTCGCTGTTTTCAAAAACATTGCAGCAGAATCTATTGGCTTTAATATTTGACAATATAAACTGTACCGTCAATAGAAAAAACGACCTAGGTGTCACAAGCCATCGCCCTATAAGAATCTGCGTGGCTTTTCTATACCAAATAATGGAACCATTGACAGCTTGAAAAACATTACTCTTTTTGTTTAGGTAAATGCCGGCAACAAAACATCCTCACTGAGTGCTTTACATCTTCTCAATCCGGAAGTTACACCCTGTAGGAGCGCAGGTCCTGCCAGCCAATAGAGTAAAAAAAACGCCTCCGCCGATGACTCAAGGGAAGGACGGAGGGGAGATTAACAGGGATCCTCGGCAGCAGCGGTCCAGTTAGTATAAAGAGAAATAATCACAATGGGCAGCACCGACTCCAAACTGAACTTCAGGAAAGCAGTGATTCAACTGACAACCAAAACACAGGTATATTTACACATCCACACACCAAAAATAAAGGATTGCATAAAAAATAGAAATGTATTCGATGAGCGCCACCCGAGCTCATCACCGAGGAGATGAGATAACGCGAATGGTGTGATGTGAAAAGACAAACAACCGTTTGATGCATGCGGGTTTCTGACTGACATGCATCAATTTTACATAATCGATATGTTTATTAGGTCGGTGTAGAACGACTGCACCGGCCTACACTGTACTCCAAAATGTCGTATTTGAGAAAGATTGGGATAAATGATGGCCGACCCTTTGTTGCAGATCACCATGTAGCTTTTATTCAGGCTGCACATGTTTGTATTATAAAACAAATGATGGCGTAGCCAAATCAAAACGGATGACGCAGGTCTTGAGATGACCACGTTTGCAGATGCGGCAGGTGCACTGTGCTTAGGCCAGCTTGCCAGATAATGTTTTCCTATCTGCTGCTAAAATGCGTGCTGTGTTTACCTTGCCATTAGGCAGGCCTTTGATTACCTGCACAATGAAGAACAACCGTGTATGCATTATGATCAAGAGGGAGACATGTTTTATATATACACACAATATATATCCATGTATTTTTAAAATGTCATGGACATAGAAATGCTGCATTTGACCTAAGCGTATTGGAATTGAAATGTAAACACATTTTCTGCAGCCAGTAGAAGCCACAGACGATGCCTTTTGGGACCAGTTCTGGGCAGACACCACCACCACGGTCCAGGATGTTTTTGCACTGGTTCCAGCTGCAGAGATAAGGGCTGTTCGAGAGGAGTCCCCCTCCAATTTAGCAACTCTCTGCTATAAGGTACACACAATATGAACTGCTAATGCATCTGAGTAACACAAACGTGTTTACGAGATAAGATTGCACGGGACACTCCCTGCTGTGCATCACATAATCATTGAGCCAAACACGGGAGTCTGTCAGCAAGACTCTGCTTCGTGCTCTCAGATGTGGGAATAAGTGAGTCAACTGCCCTTCCTTTCCCTTTGCTTCCTGTATACTGGCACCAGCTTCCGTTTGAAGCCTCCTATCAGAAACAAAACAGTCACACTGAGCTCTTACAGCCTAATTAAATAAAACAGGGGAAGACGAGAGCTCTTGAAGCTGAGCTGATAGTAGTTTGCTACCTATTTGGAAAAAAAAAGAAGCTTTTTCAACATTTTCCCTTGAAATGGCCGTTCGTTAAAAGACCAAAAACAACATCAGCATATGTCCCCATATCATGTATATATCATTCTACTTCTCAATGGAAAGCAGGATACCACGTTTGCACAAACCAGTTGAATCATTTGTGCTTTAGTTATTTTTATCATATTCAATGGAACAGCAAGTCCAAGAAACTACTGTGTTTATTAACAGTACATGTTCATTGGGTAATCATTATCTAAGAACCAACAGTTCTAAAAGGGACTCGAATTGCATTATTTAAAACTACACAGAACTTCTTCTGTGTGTCTTGGACAGTAGATGTTTCCACACCCACCGTACTCATTTTCATGCACCTTCCGATCACGTTTCATGTCTCGTCAGGCCGTAGAGAAGCTGGTGCAGGGCGCCGAGTCAGGTTGCCCCACAGAGCGGGAGAAGCAGGTGATCCTGAACTGCACCTGCATCCTGAGCCGCATCCTTCCTTACATATTTGAGGATCAGGACTGGAGAGGATTCTTCTGGTCAACGGTGCCCGGTGCTGGGCGAGCTGGGGTTAGTGGACACAGGAAAGAAACAACATCCTTTCAGAAAGCATCAACACAAGTCTTCAAGTCACGTTTTATCCGACAATGTTGCTTTGTTTGTTACTAAAACAGATTTATAGGATGTTCGCCTACACCAGTGATACGATACATTACTGTGACAACATTTAGGGTATTTGCTTTTCTTTTCATGAGTACATCTCCAGCAATCTGTCGATCAGCTAAATGGATTTCCTCATTCCAGTTTTGAGGAGGTCTGCTCCAATTGTTTCCATGTAGAGCAGGAGCATATCTGCTGTACTGCACCATTTCTTTATAGCCAGGAATATTTTTCCCATTTTCCCATTTATATAATTTCTTATATATAAAAGAACTTTAGAGAACCGTTTTCATCATCTGGTCCTAGTCTGATACATTGATCGTGGTCCTTTGCAGACAGATGAGCTGGATGATGATGAAGGAGCTCGACCCCTGGCCGAGTCGCTGCTCCTGGCCATCGCTGACCTCCTCTTCTGTCCAGACTTCACTGTGCACAGCCACAGGAGAGGCCACGTGAGTACCCAGAGCCCCATCGCCGTCAGGCCAAACTTCATGAAAGATTTATATTTTTCAACCGTTTCCTTCTTCCTTGCGTAACATTTGCCCGACTAACTGGTCATTCCAGTTTTTATCTCTAGAGAGAACATTGACAGAGTTCATGGTTGATGAAACATTGTTAACAATGAATGCTCTTGAACCTCCTTGGGAAATTGTTTCATACTATACTCACTATGGAAATAAATAACAGGAAAGGTTCATTTAAGGGTTAGGAGAAAGAATGAATAAATAAATACAACAGCAGGAAGAGGTGCATAAATAAGGAGAAAAACAAAGACTGCACATCCGTAAATTGTGTGTTTTAGCTCCCTCAAAGCTATGTTATGTGTGGCCATGATATTTTACATAACCAGATACCTTAGTTGGCAAAACTTATACTATATCTCGACTAGACAACCCCCATGTCATGTTAGAATGCAGAACCAAACACCCAAACATGTCTTTTAGGTTCGCACAAATATTTAGAGAAATAATATATTCGGCACTATGATTAAAATAATGCATTTGTGTTTTACGCGACCGCATCCAGGACTCAGTAGAGAACATGCAGTCTATAGACAGCTGTGAATACATCTGGGAGGCAGGTGTGGGCTTCGCACAGTCCCCCCCGCTCAACTACATCCATGATCTGAATAGGTGAGTCATCCGGCTGTGTGCAGCTGTGCTTAGCAAGACAAAGCATTAACGCATTTATTCCCTCATTCTTACCTGGGAGACTTTTTCTGTCCACCTCTATGCTCTTTCCACTGATCCTCTTCAGGATAGAGCTGCTGCGACTGTTACTGACCTGCTTCTCAGAGGCCATGTACCTGCCTTCTTCAACAGACAACAGTGTCCTTAACCCCTGGGTGACATTCTTCTGCTCCACAGAAAATAGGTAATTTTGGTACATCCTAAAAACGTATGGACAGACATGATGGGGTAATGTGAATCCATCTGACCGACAAAGTGCACCAGAATTCTTAAATATGAGATATTCATATTATTGAATTGCAAATACAAATCTAGCAAATGCATTTCAAGTTAACTGAAAAAAAGTTTCAAATAACAAGTTATGGAATAGTACAACTTTCATTCAAAAACTTTGCTCGATGATTTTCTTTCGCCTGATTCTCATCTCCGCTGCCTTTCCCCTAGACATGCTCTGCCCCTGTTCACCTCTCTGCTGAATGTGGTGTCTGCCTACGATCCAGTGGGCTACGGCATCCCATACAACCACCTGCTCTTCTCTGACTACCGGGAGCAGCTGGTGGAGCAGGCGGTGCAGATCCTCATTGTGACTCTGGAGCATGACGCAGGGGTTCCCCACCAGCCCCCCTCCTCCTCCAGCATGGAGGAACACGAGGTATCACACACCGACGCAAAGAAATCAATCCCACCATTGTACGGAATGTGTTTAATGTCCTTCCAGTTAATCGCGTCGTCTTTGTGCAGACGGCCGGCCCCGAAAACCTTTTCGTGAATTATTTGTCGAGGATCCACCGGGAGGAGGTGTGCTGATTATCATTTCTAACAAAATTCTTGAGTATTTTTTTTGTCCTGTAAAGTTTTACAAACCACAACTTCTGTCTGTCCATTTGCAGGACTTTGACTTTGTCCTGAAGGGCCTCGCTCGTCTGCTGACCAACCCTTTGACCCAGACGTACCTGCCTAACTCCACCAAGAAGATCCAGTTCCACCAAGAGCTGTTGGTGCTTTTCTGGAAGCTCTGTGACTTCAACAAGGTTGGAACAAAGAACTAACATGACTAGTTTCTTTTGATTAAAAGTCTGGGCTTTTAATTCAACCAAATTCCCCTGTGTGATCCCACGTTAGAAGTTCCTGTTCTTTGTCCTGAAGAGCAGCGATGTGCTGGATATTCTGGTCCCCATACTCTTCTACCTGAATGACGCCAGGGCTGACCAGTGTGAGCCTCCTTCTACCGCCATGTCTGTTTCCTTGCGTCCAACCAGACTCCACTGGGCATATGTTAATCAACTTCTGCTGTGTTTCATGGCTGCAGCCCGCGTGGGACTCATGCACATCGGTGTATTCATTTTGCTGCTGCTCAGCGGGGAGAGGAACTTTGGGGTGCGCTTGAATAAGCCCTACTCGGTCCACGTGCCCATGGACATCCCGGTGTTCACGGGGACTCACGCCGACCTGCTCATCGTGGTGAGCGGCTGCCGCGTTCCATCGTCTGGGACGTTCTTTGTTGCTGCTGCATACGGTCAATGGTCACAGCGCTCACTGTGTTTGGTCTGTTCAAGGTGTTTCACAAGATTATCACCACAGGCCACCAGCGTCTCCAGCCTCTGTTTGACTGCCTACTCACTATTGTTGTGAACGGTGAGTTGCTTCAGCGCCGTCTGCCTTACAACGGATACCACCCTATAAAATAAAATTGTATGTTAGTTGTTGTTTTTTTGTCTTAAGCTTTCTCGTTCTGCAGTGTCTCCCTATCTAAAGAGCCTGTCCATGGTGGCGGCCAATAAACTGCTCCACCTGCTGGAGGCCTTCTCCACCAGCTGGTTCCTGTTCTCCCTTGCTCAGAACCATCATCTTGTGTTCTTCCTTCTCGAGGCTTTCAACAATATCATCCAATATCAGTTTGACGGTAAGTCACCTAAAACAAAACCGGATTCTGGACTTTAGTTTTAGAGTTTCTGTCATGATAAATATATTAAAAAGGAAATAACTGCTCATTTGGTAAATCTGTCACTTTGTCTCACTCACGTCCAGGAAACTGCAACCTTGTGTATGCAATCATACGCAAGCGTAACGTGTTCCACCAGTTGGCCAACCTGCCCTCTGACCCCGCTTCCATCCAGAAGGCTTTGCAGAGGAAGAGGAAGTCTCCGGATGTCATTTCCCGCACTAGCTCACAGGAGACGGTATCCATGGAGGGCTCTCACCCCGCTGTGCCGGCGGAGCCCGGTACACTGAAGACCAGTCTGGTCGCTATACCAGGTGCTGACTCTCTATGCTATTTGGATGTTTGTGAGTGAATGTTAAAGTCAACTTACACTTTACATATTTTTATCTTTAAACTTTATCAAATTTACTATCCGACTGTTGGGTAGATTTCTGTCCTGTACAGCTTACATACTACATACAGTACATTGATCAATGTGGTTCACTGTTTTTGTTTTCTTATGGCACACAGGAATATGTTACAGTATATCAGGTTTTGGACACAACGCTACTTTTCATTCTTGGTTTTGGGCATTTCATGGAATTTGTTAAAATACGTACCCTCAGTAGTCAACTTATACCTCAAGTAGTTATTGGATCCCTGTTACTCGACTATTTCCGGCAGGCATCGATAAACTGACTGAGAAGTCCCAGGTGTCAGAAGATGGCACCATGGTGTCAGTTCCAAAGATGGACCCTTTACAAACAGCCCACGCAGACCACAATGCAGTCGCCGGGACCAGCGACACAGAGTCAAACTCGGGCCGAGACAATGAAGTAAGTGAGCATTTGTGCAACGCGTGTTGGTTTGAAAGCACATGCGGGTCGGTAATTGTATTTCTTCAAACCATCAGGATGTTTTCTACACTGAAGCAGAAATGGAGAGAAGACCTTTGTCGAGAGCGCCTTCAACGTCGCTTTGGGCTCCAACACCGGAATGGGTGAGTAACTTCATTCACCCTCTCCAAAACGTGTACGTTTGTCAATATGATTAAACTATCTGTGTTTACATGTTTTTCTATTCTAGGTCCTCTCCTGGAAGTGTAAACTACCCCTACAGACTATCATGCGACTTCTACAAGTTCTGGTTCCCCAGGTGGAAAAGATCTGCATCGACAAGTACGCCACTTAACTTTCAATCCCTCGGGTTCCTTTTTTAAACATCACGCTTGTTTTTAAAGTGTGCTCAAATGTTTCACTGCAGGGGTCTAACAGATGAATCAGAGATCCTGAAGTTTCTCCAGCATGGCACATTAGTGGGCCTGCTGCCAGTTCCTCATCCCATTCTCATCAGAAAGTATCAGGCCAACGCAGGCACCGCCATGTGGTTTCGCACCTACATGTGGGGTGTCGTCTATTTGCGGTGAGTCAGCCATGAGAGGAGAATCACAATCGTTTCTCCACGTTGACTTTATGCTAACATCTCATTTTGTCGTTCTAGCAATGTGGACCCTCCAATCTGGTATGACACTGACGTTCGCCTCTTTGAGATTCAGAGGATGTAGACATCGAAATGGGACCATTCAACAAGGTTTTTCCTCCCTTCAGTATCTGCTGGTTTCCTCGTCCACCACACTGTGTTTAACTTAGCCTCCATAATCGTCAGTGCATACATCACCGACCTGGGTAGGAGAGTCATTCAGACGACTCGGGTAGAGATACGTTCAGAGAGGGATGATTGAATTATCGCTACTGTCAATAACGGCGTTTGTACATTTCTTAAGACCTCAAGACCTTGGAATGTTTCCTGATTGCCGAAGCTCTTTTCTTGGTGGGATAGAGAAGAGAACGTGAAGTGGAAGAAGAAACGTTAAACTTTGCAGTAAGACTTGTTTTAGAAGATATTGTGCTTTCCAACAGAGGCTTGTAACATATCCTGGATGGTACAATATGTGTGTTTTTACGTTTATTTGTTGTACACTCTTTCATTTGTGAATACGTTTGTGACAATGTAACTCTACAGGATTTTGACAATTATACAGATTATATGTTTTTAATGTATATGACCAGGTTTAAGTTTGGACCTGGCTGGCTGTGCTTACAACGCTTGATGTTGGAAATTGTATTTTACGTAAACTATCTTGAATATATATTATATATATGCATCCTTGAATTCTGCATTTGTCACATTGCTGAACAATATGCTTTGAAGGGAAATATCTCTGGAGCAGTAAATATAGTGAGTTATGATTTAGTCTTTGTGCACCATGTGGATCCTCACATCAAAACTACAAGATAATGCAACATTTAACGATCCACATCAAGTCTAGAGCCTATTAGAAGGCATTTAACTTGTCAATTGGTTACATGTAGTTTGGCGACAAAATCACTAGATGTCACCATGACTCTCTACTGAGGGCTTATGTCCCTCTTTCTCCCTTATAACATATTATCTACTGCTTTATTGATTTAATCAATATGAAGTCCTAAAAAAGTTTTTCTTAACAAAATTCTAATAAGAAATGTCACAAGATAAAGTAAACTATCAAAATATTATATAAGACAATATGTTCTTTAATTGCTGCAATTATTTTTAAAATACTGTTTAGGATTCACAGACAGACACACACACACACACACAAACGTGAATTTAATAGCTTGTTACGGGCAATCATTTTTCTTTTAAGTTAAAATTAATGACAAGTTAAGATAAACATAATAAAATTATTCTTATTAAAATAAGGTGATCGAAGTGTTCAAAGACACCTCAAAGAGACTGGCGACAGAGTGCATGCGGTAGAATATTCCAAACGGCGGTCCAATATTCACGTTGGTCGCCCATAATGAGAAATTGTAGAATTTTATCTCGGTTGGATGATCAAACTGGGGGCGAGCACCGAAGGCGGGCATGATCCACAGCTGTCAATACAGAGCGAGCCAATAAGCAGGACACATTTCAAGGAGGAAAGCAAATAGATATTTGGTTCCTTGCGATGATGGTAATCAAAGAAATTAAGCGTGAATGCAACTTACGATGACGTTAGCAAACAGCAGAAAAGCACAGACTTCCTGCAATACTCGTCTCTTCCAACTTGGCTTTTCCCGACTTGAAGTGACGGAGCATTTGGACTTCGGACCCTCCAGAACCATTGTCATCTCCGGATGCTCCCGGCAGGCGCGAGCATTTGTGTGTAGAGCGCCCCCCTGCGTATCGGGGAAGGGCTCCCTGTGGAGGCCTTCGATGAGGACGTAGTTCTGCAGACAGAGCTGGAGCACCGTCAGCACCGCCCAGGACAGGTTGAGGGCATTCAGGTGCCCGCCGCCTCCGGTCGCCACCACGGCCACGATGGTGAAGTAGCTGATGAGGAACTGGCCCAGCGAAGCGGCCAAAACAAGCCTCACGTCCAGGCTGCGGGTGGGGTTTTTCACCGAAACGTGCTCCCTGCGGTCCAGCCGGTAGACGATGCAGCCGATCACAGTGGAGAGGCACATCAGGCTCACTATCACCGAGTTGGTGATGAAATGAAACAGCAGGGCCTTGTTTCGGTTCTTCTCATCCTCCCTCAGCATGTCCACACTATGAACGGGACGAGTCCGGCCACCACCAGCAGTATTCCCGTAACGGATCCCAAACACACGTCCTTCAGGGAGACCGACATTTTTCCACATGACGTAGGTCAAAGCCGAAGCGAAGAGGCTGTATTCTATGTTGAAAGGCTACAGGTACTAAAAGGCCTCTTTGAAGGTTTCGCACACAGAGTGACTGCAATTACACTTGCTGTCATCACAGAGGGCTGAAACAGAACGTTGAGTTAATTTTTTTTCCTCTTAAAAAGAATCCATCAATAAATGGAAAATAACCCGGGCCTAAATACCTCGGTACACATTGACATTCAGGTCAGAAATGTCCATTTGGTGGACCGATTCCTCAGTCACAGCTGCCATCCACACCACCAGGTGAGTTGAAAGGGTAAGAGTGAGCCCACACCTACGTGAAAGAAAACAGGATCGCCTTGTCAGAATAAATAAAGAAGTACATTTTCTAAAAGGTATAAAATGAATAATTTACCGTGTAAAATTTGTGTGTAGTTCCCCCCCCCTGCCAAAAAACAGTGCAGGTAAAACTGCATATACTTGTAATGCATGAGTATTGTCTTTTTTTCAATGCAACAACCTGGACAAACAGAAACACAGCTTGCACAACAGGGAAGGCAACCATGACAACGGAGTCACACTGCAGGTAACCCAGGTGGCGATCTTGAAGATGTCCGTGAGGAGACTGAGAAGCCCAAACAGCAGGAGTCCACCTGCATTACAAAACATTAACAAAATAGATCAAGCCACAATGCGATATTTGTCTAAAAGCAGTCCGGAAAGCGCTGACCTCGGAGCCACACTGCCCTGCGTGGCTATCTTTGAACAAGAAATTTCGATCCTTTTGAGAGTTGACCGTTGACCAGCATCCACAATATCGCAAGAAGGAAGATTTGCCTGTGCACAGCAGTGATCGCCACGCTGAGGAAGGCACTGCCGCTGACCAGAGTGCCGCCCGGAATCAATAGGTTGATGCAGATGACGCCAGACCCTCTCCATCGCTTCCTCCACCCGGCCAATGCTGTGTCGGGCCTCCGCGCTGAGGGTCTGTGAAGGACTCGGGCCAATGTCCATCTGAGCCGCCGTTTCAATGTTGGACAGCCGGGCCTCCACAACATCTTTTGATGCGTTTCTATAAATATATATATGTAAGCACTTTCTCAAAAAAATATCCACAAACTGTTTGAGTTAGCAGCTGGGGAAATTTTTTGCAGAAGATACTCCCTGTGAACACACGTGATGAGTTTTTTTAACATTTAAAAACAAACAAAGAACCCCCAACGATCTGCGATTTTCAAGCATGAGGGAGGAATATTTAAAACACATTTCACTCCAATACAAAGCAGTAGGTTTCAACTTCAACCTCATTAACCAACAACCCAAGTGTCAAATAAATAATTTGTGGCAGATGTGTACAGTTGGATTGCATTAATTTATAGTTAAGTGAACAAAATAAGTGGAGACGGCTGCTTCTTGAAGCACAGGGTGGCTAACATATCCTTATACCCTGTAAGAAGGTACTCACTAAAAGCTGCCCAGGGAAAACAAGTGATTGATACACATTCACCAGAGAAAGGTTGGTTGCAGGTCCGGAACCAATTTTTGTTGAACAGTTTTCATGAAAAACCGCTTCTCAGGACACTGGGGCATGTTTATATCAGGGTAAAGATTAAACACATACGGATATTAAAGGAAATGCAGAAAGTGTGGCCCTCTCTGAAGGGGAGGTCGCTGGTGTAGCAGAAGATGAACAGGTGTAGATGCTTGTGGCTGATCAGTCCGGCGCTCCTTTAACAATTACCCGGAGCAGCTCTGCTCGTGAATCCCGGCCCATAGGCCTATGCGCTTTTTTGATATTATATGTAAACAACGTTGCCTTGGTTGCTCCTCTGCCAGCATGCGGAGGTGTCCCGTGATTGGACACCGCCTCGGGGGGGGGGCATCCATTTCCTTTGACGGTGCGTGCGTATTTTTCATGAATAATCCTGGTACCTGCATGTTGTTTGATGAGTGATACTCTGCTGACTCAACACTCCTAGAAAGCCAATAGCTTGCAAACACAACAAAGCAGCGACATGATGCTGTTGGGAAAGCAACAGTAAAAGCAACGCATAATAGAGGCAGATATTATTGCTTCATTTTTCCTTATTCTTTAAAAGAAAATTAAGTAAAAAAATTAAGTAAAATATTGACTCGTGTGTTTGGATGTCCCCATGAAAAACATATATTATAAGGGAATAAAGAAGCAGGACGGCCCCTTTAGGAAATCTAGGTTTTGTAAAAGAAGAATTAGTGTTGCAGACACAGAACTCACTCACAGAAATATAAATGTCCTCATAGTTCTTAAGAATACTGTGATAATAGATAAACAACATTCGTTTCCACGTTTGTTGCAGAATTGTAAATCGTTTACAGGTCACCTGCTGGGGCCGGTTGATGTGGTCCAGAGCTCATCAGCTTTACCGGCGAGCTGCGTGCACTCATGTGTTAGTCACAAGGTGGGAAACAAAGGTCAGCGTCTGTTCTCTCAGTCCATCACAAGATTCCAGGATGTTGATGACTGAGCTCCCGCTCGTCTTCTGTCTTGTCGGGGCAGCGGGTGCCCTGCACAAACAGTGGATTCCGGACACCAACTATGAGAACAAGACGAACTGGGACAGAGAGGCTGTTCCATGTGGCAACGACATCGCTCATTTTCCAGCCCAGAGAAAGGTGTCCGTGTTCGTGGAGACCACGCATGCCGTGCGGGAGATGAGGCTGCCGGTTGACGGGGAGTTCATCCTGAACTCGGGAGCTGGATTTTATGTCGTGCGCGGGAAAGATCCACGCTGCGGAGCTGGTGTCACGACCAAGTTCAGAGACTCGGAGCCTCTTCGGTGGTTCAACCCGGCTCTGTGGCAGGCAGCTGCAACTCTGGACGACCTGCAGCGTGGAAACTTCTTGTACTCAGTCCACGAGGAGAGCGTCCCGTGCCTGCAGGACGATGTGGTTTTTGAAGCCCACTCCTCTTTCAGCATGGACACCGGCTCCGGTCAGTTCGCCGTTTCTGTCAAATCGGTGTCGGTGCTGGGGAAGAAGTTTGAGAGCAGATCTGAGTTCTACCAGTATCTCAGCTCACGTTCAGGCCAGCTGCAGTTTCAAGGACCCTCTGCTGTCACTGTTGGGAACCAAGAGTGTGGGGATCCTTCGGGCTGCGACTGTGGGAATTCTGTGAACCATCAGCAGATATGCAACACTATCACATGTGACTCTCCGAGCTGTAAGAAGCCTCTCCACCCTGCGGGACACTGCTGTGGTGTTTGTGGCGCCATCGTCACCATTCGCTATGCTGCTGGTTTCAACCTGCAAACTTACAGGCAACGAATCCATCACCTGTTTCTAATCTTGCCAAAATACAAACACATTCAGCTGGGCATGTCTAAAGTCTTCAAGTCACAGCGGCTGATGGGGGTCATCCCTTTTGGCACCTCGCCCGAGATCCAGGTGGTTATTGTGGATGGAGAGAAGGGGCCGCAGTCCGAAGGTCTGGCTCGGGACATACTGACAGATGCCCGTTCTCATGCCTCCAACCTGGGGATAGCTGGGGCTGAATACCTCACCTCTTCTGGGAGCAGCAGTGATCAGACCGGAGGAGGCGCCGGGATGGTGGTTGGAGTTGTGTTTGGGGTTTTGATCATGATTACAATCGTGGTGGCGGCGGCGGTCCTGATTCGTAAAGGGGTTGTTCGAATACCATCATCACTGCCGAGTCTGGGCAGCTTAATGAGAAGCAGCGATGTTGGAGACCTCGACGGGTCTATTGACCACGGCTTTGATAATCCTATTTTTGACAGGCCCAACATGCTGCCCGATATTCCTGGCGTGTATGGCGCTGCAGCAAACCATTCGATCTCTATGACTCAGACAGGTGTGCACTTTGTAAACCCAGTTTATGACGATAGTGAAACTGATTTAAATGCCTGAAATAGACTGCAGCAGAATTTGGGGGAGTTGATTTCAAAAGTACTTTTTAATTAACTTGATGATTTTACAGTATCTTCAACAAGGAGCTCTAGAATAATTCAGCAAATGCACTTGTAGAACAAATAAAATAATTGTTTGCAGACAATGTCACATTCAAGAGCCTGTATATAAATCTCAATAAAGCTGCAGTAAATGGGTTTATTGCTGCACAGATTTATTTTATATATTACCACTGGATGGCTTTGTGTAAAATCCTCCACATCTGCCAACAATGTTATATACCTTGTTATGTAACCTCAATAAACATTTATTACACAATAATATCTCTTTAACAAACTGGCAGCGAAGGCAGATGATTTGTTTCATTACATAGTTTGTCATTAACAAGATGAACTGCATTGTCTTTTTTTGACAGCCAGGCAGTAATGTGTAAGGGCTCTATGAAATCAGCAGTGTAGTTGTGCAGCCGCCTCATCGGACCGGCGGCATCGTAAAAAGACACAGAGCCTCGGTGAAAGTCGACATACAAGCCGAGCCTCGTAACGTCCGTGGCATCCAAGGCCTCCTCCACACCGGCGTGCCAGGCAAAGAAGCCTCGGCTGTTCCTCCCCACGCACCAGGAAAAGTCGTTCCCAGTGATGCAGCTGGTGCTTTGCTCTCCTTTAGGATCGATGCTCTTGTACGTAACTCCTACATGTGCACCCTCCCCGCTCAGTTCGGCTTCAACATAGTGCCTCCCGAGGTAAATGCTGTCTGAAGTCATTGCCTGACGCCAATATTCGAAGCGACTAGGGTGTTCTGGGTAGGCGTGCTGCCAGGGGCTGGTGTTGGTCAGCTTTCGGTTGTCCTCCGTTACACGTAGGAATCGATGGACGGTGTCTGGGTCAAAGGTTAAACTCCTTGCGTCTACATAGGCGGGAAATAGATTTCGTGGACAAGTTAACATGTACGATTTGCGCGACAGAGAACACACAACATAACATACTGAAAAGGGTACTTACATTTTAAGAAGTCCTCCGGCGTCTCAGGATCAGGAAGGAGGGAAGGTTCACATTCTGGCATCCAGGATTTAGTACCTACTCATAGAAAGGTTACATGGTATTTTGATAGCATTTACATTTCTCATTTAGCGGATGACTTTATCCAAAGCGACTTAAAACGCAAGGTTTGAACAATGTGCTAGATGTAGACTCGACCGCATCTGTTCGCCGCACGGCTAAAAAAAGGTCCGAAGCGGTTCTCTCAATGGTGTAGGTGCAATGTGTAGAATTTAATGTACACTCACCACTTTTACAGATTGTGAGTTTGTTTGAGGAGAGGATCAGGTCACACAGCTCCTGGGTGGAATCCGTCACTACCTGGAGGTAAGACAGTAGATGGTCCATGTGGTCGATGTTTGGACTAGGCAGACTTACATCTTCCGAGCCTATCTTCCACTCTGAATACTCCTGGTGCAAGCAAAAAAAAGTCAACATGAATTCATGATGCAAAATCAAGCTGAAAAACTGCAGAGATAAACTTCCTGCTCTGTGAACAACATGTGCTAATCCAGGATTAAATGACACATGCACTAGTTTATTATTATCCTGAATATATCCTAGATATTGTTTACCTGCAGGAAGTCTACATCAGACTTGCTCCTTGACAGTTTGTTCATTCGGGCCAAAGTTTTCATCAGCCCTGTTTTCCTCCGCTCCAGATGTGCCTGGATGCTCTCTGCCCGTCTGAGGGATTTTCTCTGCTCGGCCTCCAGCCCGTCCACCAGCCCTCTTCTGGCCTCCTCCAGGGTTGTCTGCAGCCTGGCAAACTGCTGTAAGACAGTAGCACAGACTTCCTGCACTGACGACTGCCGGCGAGGAAGGAAAAAAACAATATTCAAACCACACTGTGGTGCTTTCAATTAATACAAAATGCACATAAAATACCTTAATGAAGTCATTGTCACTCTGCAGTTTTCCGATCTCTTTCTCGGTTGCTGAGGCAGTTTGATTGATTGCTTCTTGGTTCTTCTGCAGCTCAGTCTACAGCACAAATACTTGTCACAAACTACACCAGATGCTGAAAAATTCCAAGGCAAATATCGAAAAAATGTGAACTGATCTGTTGCCCGTTGAGATGATACGTGGAAGTAGTTTTAAATATTCAAGCACATTAAAAAAGCAAAGGAAAGAAAAAGATTGTGTGGTTTTGTGAGGACCTCAATCTGTGTCCGTGCCTCCCCGACAGATGCAGTCGGGTGCCCTTCGTGCTCGCGGTCCTCACACTCGAGACACAGACAGCACCTGTCCGTCAGACAGAAGCGCTCGAGAGGACGGCGATGAACTTCACAGGTCTGACGGTCGACGTCCTGGAGGGGATCCACCAGACGATGGTTCTGAAATTTGGCATTCTCCAGATGGGGTCTGAGGTGGGCCTCGCAGTAAGAAACCAGGCAGGTCATGCAGGATTTCAGGGCCTTGCCTGGGCTGTCCATGCACGAGTCACATAGTACATCTTGCGGGGGCATTATGGCGGACGTCTCGACGGCAGGATCCCTCGGCTCTTCCTCAACGTCCATGGTGTGCTGACTGTCCTTCAAGGTCTCCTCATTACTACTGCTTGCGGTAGCCATTGATAGGGTCCCTCCAGTCACAAGGTTCTTCGGCTGCTTTTTCCTGAGATCTCAAGACCCCCTCAGCATGGGGAAACTCAGCCAGCTGAAGCATTTTCAACCCCTCCCTTTTTAATTCTTCTCTTCTCATAACAACTGACGACTGAGCAGATTACCGAGAGGAGGGGAGGAAATGGCGAGTGTGTTATGACTAAGCCAGGGAAGGAAATGAACATCCTCTCTTTCGTTCTTTCCAAGTAAATAACTTGTTCACTGATTTTCCATTCTCTGGAAAAGTTGGACTTTAATTTCACCAATAATGGTTATAAGACTACAGTTGTGACCGGCTTCTATCACCAATAAGACAAATGGTTGAATAGAAACATCACTAAAGTCTGTGTATAGCAGCCTATGAATACTTTCGGCACTAAACAGGCTCAATGTGGGAGTGCCACACTGTTTCCTTCTGATAACAGTGTTATTTGAGGGGCATGGGACTTCCACTCAATGCCACCAATCTACAGCAGAACGTCCTGCTTTGTATACGGAGGCAACAATTACACTTGGAGTTTGTGTGTAGGCAGCATGAGGATTGTCACGATGGCTGAACAGGCAGAAGCAAGTACATTCCGCTTTCTGGGTCAGTCTCTCTCCTTGACATTTTTGGAAGAGGTCTGTCTACGTAAACAGGTAGCAACTGAGACAGGATATAAACTGACCTGTCAAAGTGATAACAGTTGACATTAGTTAGACTATGCATGAATAGCAATTGTTTGGTTCACAAATGACTATTCTATACCCTACAGTTTCAGGTTGAAATACTGAGGTAAACTATTTCCTGTAGACTTTCAATCATCTGAAATTAACCCCTACCAAAATATAATATTTTACACTTAGTTGTTTAATTACATTTTTAACATAATCAGAGCATTGTGTGCACTTCTTTAGTTGTAGTATGGTTATTTGTGTTGGAAGCTCTGCTAATGCATCAGAATATTCCATATGGAAAATGTATAATATATACTGTTTGTACTGTACTTTACTGTACTGTAAATTGCACTTTCTTGTTTCTACTGGTAAGTCGCTTTGGATAAAAGTGTCAGCTACAGGACATGTAATGTCAGAACCACGAAGAATCCTTAAATGAATGAAATAAATATATGCGCCGTGATCAGGGTTTTTGTGTGTGTTGTGTGTCTTGTCCTTGTCCTGCGTTCTATAGTGTACTGTATGTCCGTGTGTTGATGTTTGTCCCGGTAGCCATGGAATCGGGGCGTAGGCACGTCTACAATCACGAGGGGATTTAGAAGCAGCCCTGACATCCAGTCCCTGCTGGAACATTAAACCACACTAGTTTCGAAAGTGTACTTGTTTAGGCTTTGACGGAGTGCCCTGTCTTTGTTGCTTGACAATTCGGTGACTGTATTTCTCCGCCCAGGATTATACCCTGCATTGACCAGGCCATTCCTGCCTGATTCCGTCACGCCATTATTCGTCTGGCCTGACTTTTTATTGGTTTGGTCAAACATAATAAATCCTTTTTGGTTTCACACCACCGATCCAGTCTCTGTTTGGATTCTGTCTAAGCATACCGTGACAAAAGGAAGCCAAACATACGGATCTATATCAGTTAAGTAATTCACAGCGTTAAAACATTAGTATTTATTTTTTTTAATCCACCTACGCGTAAAAACTGTAGACAATAAACATCAACATAAGCTCCGGTGCAGATGTTAATAAAAAACATTTAAAATTCAAGACTCAAGTCAAAGGTGATATACAGGTTGATACATCTGTATGGACTGCACATGCAAAATATATAACTGCAACATGCTATATTGTGTATTATAACATATTGTGTTTTCATGTTCTACATTAAATAAGATATCTCAATGAACAATTGGCCTGCATTGCCAGTGAGCCACACTTGGACTGACATGGCTTGCTATATGTAAACGTTTACAGAGATGGAATAAGGAAACAGCCAAGTGGCTGTAGTTGAAAATGTTGCACTGACTACTGTAACGAAAATGGTTAGTTACAATCAAATGAATGTCAAAAGGTATATAAGATAAAAGACAATATTAGGCGAACGCACAGGCACGAGCAATGCAGACACGTGAGGCGGTAGGATTTACCCCACAGGGGCCTACACATTCAGGGGATTTGGATCCCGCAATAAGTTCTCTGTTAAATCAGCCAAATACACAGTGAACATACAGTGAACACTGCACTCTGAACATGTGCCTTTTAGTTATGTTTTTTTGTGATCAATTTTCTTTTATTTATTGATTTTCAGATATGCATTAAAAATCAACCACCATTACCATGAATATACATACGCATATACCCACATACCCACATACACATACATATACATATGCATACATAGATATATATATATATATATATATATATATATATATATATATATATATATATATATATATATATATACACATATATATACACATAGATATGCACCTATATATATATATATATATATATATACATATATATATATATATATATATATATATATATACATACATACATACACGCATACACACACACACACATATACACACACTCCAGACATTATAGACACAAAAAGAAAATCCCCCCACCCACTACTCCAGTCTAAGAGGCTGTAATCTGGGCCATCACATTTTCACATCTTTTCGTATGCTGCCGTCTCTGTCATGAGTTTGATCCTCTCTGTACACATAGGCGTGTGCAGGCTCTCTGTTTTGCAGGATTAGCCTTGCTGCCACAATGAAAGCCTTTTTTGTTAGTCCGGGTGGCATCATCGATTTATTTCCTAGAAAGCAAAGCCTTGGGGATACTGGAAGAAGCTGCTTGAGTCAGCCTTCTAAATACTTCATGACCGCTAACCAAAAAGGCGTGGCTATAGAACATTCCCACATAGCATGTAGAAAAGTGCCAATTTCTTTATTACATTTCCAACATTTATTATTCTGCATTAATCCCATTTTATGCATTTTCTGAGGTGTGAAGTAATACCTATGTACAATTTTATAATGGATCGTAGCCCAGCCTACATTGGATATGATCTCCTGCCATCTCATTGCCAAGATCCGTTTGCCAAGTTAGTCTCAGGCCTTCGCACATTCTAGTTTTAATTTCTAAATACTTGCAGAAATCCCCTTTCTCCGGTAACTTAAATGTTCCTTTAAGGTTCTCAAATGATCTAAATACCCCATCTTCATATATATCTTTAACAGCATGTATTCATTTTGCCAGCCATGTATTGCATAGTACCCAGTGCAAGGGACCTCAACCAACCCACATACAGATATTCACAGTGATCCTAACAACATGCTGTAAAAGGATCCTGTAAGGAATTTGTCTCGCACTTCTTCACCCTTCTGGCTCGATATATTCCTCATGACAGTGTCCTTTCTGCTTTGTTACCACTGAGGCACCAGGAGAGGTAAATCCCTGCGCCCTCCCCGTCCAAACGTGACATTCATTCCACAATGCGCCACTGACCTTTAAGCCTGGGTGAGCACATGGCAGGAGGAGCCTTCTGCAGCAACTGCAATTATCTGTAGGACAGAATGAAGACATGAAAAGAAATGGCGTGTAACAGAAGCTGATTTGTGTTGTGGGCGCAAAATAAATGTCCAAACATGTTCTCACAAACACTGTTTAACTGAAAATCCAATCACTCACAGTTCTGTGTCCTCAACGCAGTCCGGTTCCTCTATTGCCTCCATCCGTCTCTTGCAGGCATCTAAGATCTTTTTCCTTGGTCCTAAGGGGATGTGAATACTCTTAAGGTCGTGATCAGAACACAGCAGGAGTGCTTCGAGGTCGATCTTTTCCCTCTTGAAAATTGAGAAGAAGTCGGTCATGCTCTGTGTGGCAAGGAAGACCTCCAGGGGGCTCGTGTCAGCCTCATCATCATCGTCGAGCCCTAATTCGACTTCTTCCCAGGGCAGCTCCTCCGCATTCCTGACTTGAAGGCTGCGTGCACTGCCGATGCTGTCTTCATCTGCACTCGGGTATTGCTGCAGCCGACTGCGTAAACGCACATTATTTCCCGACAGGTCGGCACTGTCCTCATCCCGACCCTCGATGTCAAACATCCCCCCACTCACATAGTTCCTTCTGAAGACCATGGTTCCCAGGCCGGGTCTATTGAACAGGGAATCGTGTCCCGAGTCAGTGCTGATCTCCGAGTAGTCCACATCAGCCCCGTGGAGGTCGGGCTCACTAATGGCACGTGAAATGGCATCGTAATTATCTCTGGTAAACATCTCCCGGACGTTGCGGCGGCCACGGTCTTTTGGGTTGACGTAAGTTCCCTGTTTGACAAACATGACATCGTTGCCCAGCTGAAGCCCGGAAAGGGAGCGCACGCTCTTCCTCCCGTCCTCGTAGATTTTAAACGTCCCGTCTCCCTGCTTCTTCTTCTCCAGCTTCCTCTGAATCTTTGTCTTCCCTCGGTTTGTGGCATGAAGAGTAGCCTAACAGGACATGAGTAAATACAGTGAATAGGCACAATCTCAAATGAGAAGATTTGATTTTCCGGGTATGACTAATAACCAAATTTCAGTTTTGTTCCTACGTGCGATGTGCCTACATGAGTGCCCCTGTGTGTGTGAATGTCACCACTCATATCGGTTAGGTTACCGAAACCCTAACTCATGTCAAAATGCTGATCATTCGGGTGGGTTGTTGCAGAAGGACCATCAACTATGGATGGATTGCGTTGACATTTTGAAATGACCGCCATGGTGCAAAGGTGATGCTTTTTAACAGCTTTGGTAAAACCTATACCTTTCCTCTAACAGGCCAAGATTTGGACTTGGTATATTGGTTACGACCAAATACTTTCAAAACCTGAGATGCGAGACTGGATAGAGAGTTTACAAGCTCATTTTTAAACCAATCCTCAAGCCTAACCCTCACAGTAGCCAGACTCCCAGAATGGATCTCTGTCAATGCATTCCGTCTCTTCTGATTGCCACATGGACCATTTACAAGCATCGAACCAAAGCCTGATCAAATAATTGGTGATTACTACCAAAGAGTTTCCTTTCGACTACAGATTATACATAATACAGGATCAGTTTGTGGCTAACGACTAGTTAGCATGCAAAGCTAAGACTATAAATGTGCAGAACAAATCTCTACCTGTTGAACATAATTGTTAGCACGGTCACTGTGAAGATTTAGCTTAGTCTTGTCATGCAGTCATGGGATTTGGGAACAAATGTTATACTTGAGAAAAAATAGTATTGCAAAAAATAGAATGCAAATGCAAATGTACAAAACATTCTGTCCCTTAAGAATAGATAGAACCCCCCCTGCTGACCTGAGAATATGGCACACTGACTGTGGCTGCATTTAAGTTGTGCAGCCTGTGGCTAATAGAGCTGCTGGTGTAACTGGAAAAGCTCATGGCGTCTGATGCGGACGCCTCCGAAGTCTCCTTATGGAACCTGCGCTCCATGCGCTTGTGGTGTTTCTTCTGCATCTTCACACAATCCTTTATCCGCCGCTCGGCATCGCGAAAGGCCCGGTCCTTCATCTTGCCGACCAGCTTCGCGTTGAGGCCCGTCTGCTTGGTGGCGATGGAATCCAGGTAGCGGACGCAATCCATGTGATTCTTTGTGGCGGCCATGTCCAATGGCGTGTGGTAGTCGTTGTCGAGGCACCAAATGTTGGCACCGAAAGACACCAGGAAGAAAAGGCAGTTGAGGTGACCATTGGCAGCTGCCAGGTGGAGTGGTGTGTTCCCCCATATGTCACACTTGTCAGGGTTTCCTCTGTGGGCCAAAGGAAACATGTTAGATACTCGTGGGACTTCAGATTGACTAAATAAAGTCTTTCAAGAGTCTTTCAAGAGTAAGCGTGTGATCTTTGGACTATGTTTTCACTACTGATCTGCCCTTCCTGCGTTGTTAGTGGGGCGTTGTTTAATAATTTATAGTCTCGACACCACATTAATCTTTTGTAAAACCAAACATAAAGTACATCTTGTTTTATTACATAGTTTTATTGAAGACTTGGACCATTTGGCAGATAGAGGGTTTGATTAAAACCTGTTAAAGGGAATCTACTAATATTGAAGGGCCATACGATAAAATGATTTGCAACGTTTACCCTTGGCTGACAGTCCACGACCTTTGGGTTACCTCCCAATACGTTGCACTGTTGGTGCCTTTTCTGTAACATGACCACATGCTTGCCAGCGGTGCTGCTACACTACTTGTATCGGGTTTCAGGGGAGGCATAACAGTTTGCGCCTGACTCCAAAAGCACGCCCTGCTCCTCTGAATTGACTTTTGTCTCTGATTCCAATTTCGTCCCTACAGTCTGTTGGAGATTTGATACGATCCATGTGAAGCTGTACCTTCAAAGGGCAAAAGTACTATTGATGGATTGTGTTGTTAGCGGTTTGTGCAGTGAGGGTTCTCACTGAAAGAGGTTCCCCCTCTTCTCAGGAAAAAAAAGCTGCTTTAGGATCAAGAAGAGGTTCTTGAGTTCAAACAAAAGCAAATGGTTGTCATCAGTGTCCCTTAGACGCCTTTGCAAACAGCCCAGAGAGTGACAATAAAACAATAATCCAAAAAAGGATTTCCATTGTTACTCCTGAGCTGAAATATGTGATGGGACAAACAGGTAATAAAGAAAGATAAATACTGATAAGCTATGTTCGATTTTCATTTTGAGAATAAATATTTATCACCCTCTGATTATGCAATATGATTGTGGAAGAGAAAATGTAACATGGCAGCTTTATGTGACATAATTTATGCCTCTCCTAGTAAAAGGCTGACCGCAGTAATAGTTCTGCCCACTTATCCCCCCCCCTCCTGTTCTTTATCACATTAAGGGCTGTTTCTATCTTCACTTCCTATGACAGCTTGATGTTGCTGCAAGTAGCCTGGTGCAGTATACTTGCCAACACGAGCACTGCATGACATCTTTCCCATGCACTATTAAACTTATCTTCATTATATCCCATCGGTCTCACAGGTTAGGTGCCTCTGTAAACATTTATCTATTAATGTTTATTTGGTTTCCACATGTCAATCAGGACTTTATGTGTTCATGGGAGCCGAAGGACTCCGAACACTTGTTTACAGGTGTTCCGTGGGAAAAAAAGTATTTTAGTAAAATCGCGTCTTTTTCGTTCTTTTTTCTTTGTTGCCTGTGGGCTTTAAGAAAACTGTAAAAAACGAAGATGAATGATGTTGTCTGACTTTTACATTACGTTCCTACGAAACTTTACTCAAATCAAGCAGGATCATAATGGGCCCCATTTTCTGGCTGACAGCAAACCAGGTCAGGCAGAAAAGATGAGGAATGGGCTGTTCATGACCGACAACATTTGCTCACTTTGCTGCCAGCATTTAAACAATGACGCAGCCTACTAAAAGGATCTGCTGTTAGTTTGATGAATCGCCTTCTTTTGCTGGTGAAAATATCGACATGGTAGTTATAGTTGATGACATGAAACGTTTCCTTTGCAAAAAAGTTAATGATTCAGCAATGAGTAAAATTGTATGTTCACCGAATATTATGCACTCAGAGTATTAATATCTCAACAACTGTTTCCATGTATTACATTACAGTTCTATGCTGCTTTGCAAAATGAAAAACTACCGCCTGCTCTGACAAATGGGTGATGATCTTTCAGATGATAATAGAGGAAAATATCCAGTTAACAGCTAAATTGAGTATTCAATATCAGTGTAAAATGTATGATGCAAATAAAGCCCTGTCTCTAAAAAGGGGCTTAGGCCTTCTCACATTAAATGGACAGATATATATTTAATCTTGAAATACCAATGCTCTAGCCTAACCTGGTTACTTTTAATGGATATATGTATGAAATGCTTATTATTTCTGATTTGGTTTAGTGTTCTGTTCTTTCTGCCCAGTGTGACCGGCAAAATTGTTTGTAATAAGAGAGGAAAATGGTCAAATGTTGAACTTTTCCTCTCATAAGTTAAATGCAGAATGGTAAAGATGTACACCGTGGTACCCCACGGGCTCCTGGAGCTCCATGCACCCACCCCCTTGCCGCGATCAGCCGCAGAGCCTCCAGGTTGCCGTGGAAAGCAGCCCACAGCGTCGGCGACATGCCATCCTCGTCCGGGGCGTTAAGATCCTTCCGCGTCGCCTCCTTCAGCAGGTCCAGGTAGCCATCCCGGGCCGCCTTGTGGTACCTGTCATTCATGGTGCAGAATGAATCCACCCTGCTCGACTCCACTCCGTTTAATCCACGCTGCCACCATCATCAGCATCCTCGTCGTCGTCGTCGTCGTCCCGCGGCGATGGAGCGGGATCGGGCCGACTGAAGTGCCAGTTTGTCCCGCAGTTCGCCTCAGAGCGAGTCGCTCCCGATCGGTGGAGGAGCGCGTCGGTGGTATCCAGGGACGCCGCGGCGCGCCCCCCGGCGCGTAACAGTGCTCCCGGTGGCCGAGCTGGGCCAGCAAAGTCTGTCAACGAAACACACCAAATAGACAATATATAGGCCTAAGTGCTTGAATATCAAAGAGAAGACAATGTGGCAGTCATGATTGGTTATTGTGGTTTGGCATGTCCCCCATAGATGCATCTAGTGTGTCTGAGCTTCTCAATAATCAATTTAAAAACGGCAACATCCTTAAATACTGATACCCAGTAGCCAGTTTATCTGGTAAATCCAGCTAAAGCGAGTTCAATCTAATGCAGCAGTCCTGCAATTATACCTCCCCTTCAAGAAGGGCTTTATATTCAGAGAGATGTGTTGGCTGATGAACAAAATGTCCATGCATCTGGTCAACGACCGGAACAATTACTGCAACCTTTCAAAAGCCTCCAACATGAATACACAATGAACACACAATTTATGTAGAATGGGGCAGCGACATCGAAGGTCTCAGACATACTTTGAAACGTTCCATAAGAAAAGGCACCGATAGCGGCGGGCTGCATGCTCTCTGCAAGATGCACAGATGCCCGTTTCTTCATCGAGCCAAAGTGTTAATCAGAACTGGGGGTATTATTTTCAAGCATTGAATTAAAAAGATGAGAGAGTTACACATGCTTCGGCTGTTTAGATCATTTGGACCATATTTAGATTGTTATAAAGAAAAGGGGCATTAGACATCAAGACAACACAACTCTCAAAGCTTGTAAAACATGTGAATACAAAAACATCATGAAAAAAACTTTAAATTAAGTTTTACATTTAAATGTTTTGTTTTCTTGTAGACTTCAAAAAGCCCTAAATTCAAAAAGCCCTAAATTACAAATCTATCTATCAAAAAAATATACATTTTTTTTAAAAGCAGCTTAACCCAAAAGCAACTAGTTTCTTGTATTTCGGAGTACGTGAGAAAGGGTTGTTCGTAAAAACGCCTCTTGAACTTTACAAATATTTTGTGCAAAACATGCCGTGTTTAGTGATAATACTGTGTTGCTCAAACCAGTTGACATTTATGACTGCACAGTAAACCACAGTGTTTCTGACGGTGTATAAAAACCTCAACGGGTCCTACAGCTTCTCAGGATCACACAGCATCAGGTAGGTTTACAGACATCCTTAAACTCACCTTCTTTTCAAACAGGTCACTGCTCTGTCGGATTGTAATAAGAGCTCCATTTAGGTAACGGGAGCTTTTACACGTACGTTGTTATTTCAACGTTTACTTTTTTATTCAGATGGAGATGTAGTAATGATGACTTTCCTTCTAGTTTATCCATCCATCCATCCATGTAGTGTATCTCACTCTATACACTACAGCAATGTAAAGATGCAATAATAGATCCCAAAGAGGGGCTAATTCAATGCTAATAGCCGATTAGAAACCACTCTTTTGTGTCCGTGGAAAGGTTTTGCCTGGTAGTCTATGTGGGTGTAGCTGTTAAACCTGTAATGCCCCAGACGGAACAAGGTGGACAAAACGACTTGTCAATCAGCCTCAAAGGAGGCAAAGGATGTGTTTGAAGCCCGGCAATCCCTCTGAACCATGCAGGATGACGGCCAAAGACCAGGAGACGGAGGAGGGCCCACCTGTCCAACAACATTAATGTACCGAGTCAAGTCGAGAGCGCGTGCGAGCCCGACCCCGACATTCCTCCCACTGGAGTCATGAAGGAGAGGGGTCGAAACAAGGGCTGGATGGTGTCCGGGATCATTTGTATGAACGTTTTGATCCTGGGCTGCGCCTTGGTCAGCGGCAGTGCCAACGATGAGGTGAACATCGGCAGCACTGACCTGCAGATCTTCCTCATAGTCCTCCTCCTCCTCACCTCCGTCTGGATGGTTTATTATCTCGTCCACACGGTCAGGAAAGAAAATGCTGTTGACTTCAAGGATGGCCATGCTGGACCTATATGGCTCCGGGGTAAGTCAATATGTCTCATCTTTTAGGATGAGAAAGTGTTTCTATTTGTTGATAATGTTTAACCAGTCGTTGTTCCCTAAAAGGAGGACTTGTGCTATTTGGATTGCTCAGCATCATCATGGATATTTTTAAGATAGCCAGCTATGCGGGATACCTCCATTGCGATTCTGCCATTAAGGTTGCATTTCCTGTGGTGCAACTCGTCTTCGTACTTGTGCAGGTAAAATGCATATGACAGTATGTTAATTCATTCACTCAAGCCTTTATTTTTACAGGATTAATGCCATGTGTGCAATCGATTTGCAGACATACTTTTTGTGGATGCACGCCAAGGACTGTGTGCAGCTACAAAGGAACTTTACACGGTGGGTAATGCATTGACTACTCACTGTCTTTTAGGGTTTTTTGCTTAAAAATGAACCTTACTCCTTTCGCCTTTTGTATTTTAGTTAAAATTGTTTCACTGTCAGTATCAGACAATTCCCCTCATTTGCATTTAAAGTATGCAATTATCACCTTATTTTTGATCACGCTTATCTTAAAGAGTGCTGCAATCCACAATACTTATAATTTATATATTGATTGCTCGGCAGATTATATTGTTGATTGAAGTCATGTGGCTATAAGTCAGAAACAGTGTAAAATGCTTATCACTTTGTTACATTAATCTTGGCCACATTATTCGCATAGATTAATGCATTAATGTTGACAGACCTAATTTTGTTGCATTAATCTCGGCCACATTAATCACATAGATAAATGCATTAATGTTGACAGCCCTATTTTATTTTGATTGCCCCTGTTCTTCTTATTTAGGTGCGGCCTGATGCTCACCCTCTCAACAAACCTCGTTGTGTGGATGACTGCAGTGACTGAGGAGTCATTTCACCATGACGCAGAACCCGAAAGTCCAAGCAACATCACTCAAATCTCAGGGCGAAGCCTGTACATCAGTAAAGGTAATTAAAGCAGATATAGTAATGAGTAAATCACCAAAACGTTATACTTACCTACCTGTCCCTCGTTGTTTCTTACAGCGGGCTATGGAGACAAAGCGTGCACGTGCAGCTACACGTCATGTAGCATCTTCAAGGAGGCCTACTACTACTTGTACCCCTTCAACATTGAGTACAGTCTCTTTGCCTCAGCCATGGCATACATCATGTGGAAAAATGTGGGCAGAGTGACAGAAGAACGAGATCACCACATCAAATTCCGTTTGAAGAATATAATAATCGGCCCTGTGGCAGGAATTCTTCTTCTGGTGTCGGGTCTGGCGACCTTCGTCTTGTATGAGATGGCCATGGTTAACGGAGGTGGTGATGATGACCAAAAAGACAAAGCATTGTTAATGCACTTTGTCATGAATATAGTGATAGCGACCCTGATGTCGGTCTCCACTGTGATTGGCTGTGCCATCTACAAGGTGGACCACAGGGAGCACGTATCAGAGAAGAACCCCACACGGAGCCTGGATGTGGGGCTGCTGATCGGAACCTCGCTGGGGCAGTTCATCATCAGCTACTTCACCATTGTAGCGATGGCTGCAACTGGAGCCGAAGGCTACCTGAACAGGCTCAACCTGGCCTGGGCTGTCCTGATGGTGATCCAAATCGGTCTGCAAAACTTTTTCATCATCGAAGGGCTACACCGGGAGCCCTTCCACGAGGTGGAGGCGGCCACTGTGATTCAAAATCCATATGTGCCTCAGCCGGGCAAAGAGGGAAGCAACTTTGATGGATCAGACAAGGACACGATGCCCAGTCCGGCCGTCGCTGCACACAGTCTGCACGGACATACGACCGAGCACAAGCCCAAGCTGTTGTTGAAGAGACGGATTTTGAAGGAGGTCTGTGCGTTTCTGCTGCTGGGCAACATAATAGTGAGTAACGTTCTTACACTCTCAAGGTTACAGCTCCAAAATTCCCCACATGCTAAACCTTTTCTCCTTTCTGTCTTTGACAGCTGTGGATCATGCCGGCGTTCGGTGCTCGTCCCCAGTTTGATCACGACACTGAAACTGAATTCTACAAATTAAACATGTGGGCTACGATTGTAAATATCGGACTTCCCTTCGGCATTTTTTACCGCATGCATTCAGTCGCTAGTCTGTTTGAGGTTTTTCTGACCTCATAACACTGTAGGAGGGTACAACAGTTCAGTGTTTTGACAATATAAATTTGTTTTGTATAAATTGTAGTTTGTTGTGAACTTTCTTTGTTGTTTCTCAATATTTGTGAAGTGAACCTTCATCGAACAATGTTCCCTGTGATATTAAAGCCCATGTACCAATTTAAATGTATTCAAAATATTATAGTTAGATGTCCAAAAGATTTTGCTACGCTAATCTTTTGTGACACATTTTGTGCTTCAGCCTCCGCACGCACAGAATAAGGAGTTGTAGTACACAGGTAGTGTCCATCCAATTTAAATGTTCTGATTAATTGATTTAATCAACAAAATAATGAAAGTAGTTGTTGGTGTCAGCCTTATTTTTCCCAGTTCTTTTGCAGGTAATTTTAGATTTGTTACTATTTAAACATCGATTTTGGACTTTAACTGTGTAATGGAACTGTAATTCATTTAAAAATATTTAGAAACAATCCAAGTTCATAAAATTGAATCTGGTTGAAATATCAGCCACTAAGTGCACAAAAATGGCACTTTATTTTTTAAATATTTTTAACTTTATTCTCTTATTTTAATTATTATTATTCCGCTAACCCATAGCTTTAGCATTTTATTTTATTTTATTACTTGTGCACTGCTGTCTTGTCGTCTATTGTCAGACTGTCTACTGTCACGCACCAACCGCCAAGTTAAATTCCTTCCATGTATGACATATTTTGGCAATAAATGTTTCCTGATTCCTGATTCCTGAAAATACCCAAAAATAAAATAAAAAGTTAAACAAACATTTCCAATAGCTTTTGGGAAGATATACGTGTGAAACGCAAGCAATAAAGGCATACACTAGAAGAATTGCATGTCGTATTTTATATAAATACACAATATAAGAATAAGTTGCCACTTACTTCGACTTGTGTGTTAAAGTTACCTTTGAGTCAGGCACATTTAAAGCCAGCCTTCTTTTGGGGTCCTTAGCGTAAGGGTTTGTTTACATCCACGTCACCAGGAAATACATCCCGGGTTTCAACATGATGAGACAGGTGATCGCTTCTACTTTCCCCTTTTGTGATCCCTCAGAAACAGTATTGTGTTTTGAACACTGGTGTAACTCAGTCAATATTTCTGGCGGAGAAACTCGAGGCTGTTGCGATTTGAAAGAGGGAATTGAGCCGTGAAAAACAGTTTATGTTCTTGTATGTCAACAGGACTCGGAGGACGCGCCGCTTTTTGGTGAAGATGACAGTAACGTAGGAGCTAGAAAGTCCAACATTAGGTGAGATGCTCTTACCTACGTGACCTGTTCTCAACAAACGTTTTATTCTAAAAAAATAATCTGCGTTTCAGGCATCCGCTGGTCTCTTTCTTCCATCTCTTCTTCCGAACAAGTGCCATCTTGGTCTACTTGCTGTGTGACATCTTCAGCAGCCGGTTCATCGCCTGTATGGTCACCATCATCCTCCTGCTGTCATGTGACTTCTGGACGGTGAAGGTGAGCAGCTCAGGTGGACTATTAGATATGGAAATAAATAATTCCTCAGTTTTGTACATTACACACTTTTGTTTGTTTTGGCAGGTAAAGGTTAAGTTAATTCAATTAATTTTATTTCTTTTTTTTTAGCTCAAAATTGCAAATTACAAATTTGCCTCAGAGGGATTTACATAAAGTCTGTACACATGCAACATCCTCTGTCCCGAAAACCCTCACATCGCCACAGGAAAAACTCCCCAAAAAATGAAAAAACCCTTCCATGGGGAAAAAAGGGAAGAAATCTTAGGGAGAACGTCAGAGGACGGATCCCTCTCCCCCGGGATGGACAGACTACAACGGGTGTCGTGTGTACAGAATGAACAATGTAAAAGATGTATAATACATTCAATTCCTATAACAGAAATGATTTAAATAATTGCGCAAGCCAGGCGCACGGCAGGACCACTGCAGGGACAACCACCATCAGATAAAACCACCATCCACAGAAGCCTGCGGGGAGGGAAAGCACAAACTGGTTTATGATGACAGTAATAGTAATATGATTAATATTTAAAATAATAATGATGATGATGATGGCAGCAGCAAGTGTCAGTTGTGGCGTGGCAGGTGTCAAGACCAGGGTCCAGAAGGAACTGCGATCTACGGAGACCTGCTAGGCGAGAAAGCACTGCATCACTTTGAGACAGGAAGTTCCTGATTTTTGATATATTACAAAAATCAATATATTTATAATCAATATATTACGTAGATGGAAAAAAGGTCTTTGAAGTGTTGTTTAAATGAGAGTTAAAGGACATTTCCTGGTCGAGAACTCTAGGTAACACAAGAAGATTCTTGACTGGGCTGCTGGATACCAGAGCAATTCCATCCATGACTTCCAAGGCACTCCGGCCCTATCAAGATAACTGTTTTTTTCTGAGTTTAGCATCAGGAAGTTGCAGGTCATCCAAGTTCTGATGTCTCTTGAAGTCTAACAAGCTTATGCAGTGTTTCCTGATAAGATCGCCCAAAGGAAGCATATGCAGAGTAATAAAATCGGTCCAAGCACAGAACATGGTGGGACTCCGTGACCAACATTGGTGGTCTTCGAGGATTCACCGTTTACAAGCACAAACTGGGATCTATCCGATAAATAGGATTTAAATCAGCTGAGTGCAGTTCTTTTAATACCAATCACATGTTCTAGTCTCTGCAACAGGATACAATGATCTATGGTGTCAGCAAGACAAGAAAAGAGATGATTCCTTGGTCCGACGCATATAGAAGATCATTCGTAAATTTTCACCTGTGCGGTTTCTGTGCTATGATGTACTGGAAATCCTGACTGGAAATCCTCGAACAAAGCATTGTTTTGTAGAAAGTGACTTGCAACAGATTTCTCAAGGATCTTTGAGAGGAAGGGAACATTAGAGATAGGTCTGTAGTCAGCCAACACCTCTGGAGCAAGAGTAGGTTTCTTAAGAAGAGTTTAATTACAGCTACCTTGAAGGACTGTGGTACTTGTCCTGTCAACAAAGACAGATTCATAATATCCAGTAAAGACGTGCTAACTAAAGGAAAAACTTCCTTAAGCAGCTTAGTCGGAATCGGATCCAAGACACAAGTAGAAGATTTAGACTTTGAAATTGAGTCAGAGTCCGTTGATCAAGGTTGATGGAAGAGAAGGCATCCAAACAGGCATCAGGGCCCACTGCTGCATCCATGGTTCCTACATCTGAGGACAGGTCGGCACTGGTTAAAGGCAGGAGACCCTCAATTTTCTCTTTGATAGTCAGAATGATATGAAGATATTCATGAAGTCGTTACTACTGAGGTCCAAAGGAGTAACCGGCACGACAGAGCTGTGACTCTCAGTCTGGCTACAGTGCTGAAGAGAAACCTGGAGTCTTCTGATATCCTGAGACAGGGAACTGAACTTAGAGCAGAAGGAATGGCTTCTTTAAATGAGGCTACTGCAGAATCCGATAAGCATCCACTGTACAAACCCTTGGCAGGAGGAGGAGATTCCGGTAGTAGAAGTACAAAGGTTATCAGACAATGGTCCGACGAGCGGGTTCTGTGGAAAGATTGTTAAATGTTCAATCCCAATCCGAGCGACAGGTTGCTTAACAACTTTCTCTCTCCCACCTCTCCCGTTTAGAGCATATTTTACCAGGTTCAGATCTTTTAATCTAGATGTTCCCACATTGATTTCCCAAATGTGCAAAGATATTTTCCCAAATTCTCAAGCTGAAACGTTCAGATGGCTTCTTTAGTCCCAACACCAACTCATTTTAGTTCACATAAAAGTTCAATTAAAATGTTTAAAATATTTTATTTAAAATATATGAAATATTATAAGCTGTTCCAATACTCCTTCCTGGCTATTCATTTTTGCATGTTGTCAATACAGGGTTGACCTCAAATTAAAGTACATGTTTTTTTTTCCCCTCATCAGAATGTATCTGGTAGGTTGTTGGTGGGTCTTCGGTGGTGGAATCAAGTGGATAAAGATGGAAAGAGCCACTGGGTGTTTGAGTCCCGGAAGGTAATTAGACGGTGATTCGATACATTCCTTGAAGACCTAGCCGGCATTTGCACAGCACTATTTTCAGTCCAACAGAAAAAGGTTTTCTTTACAGAGTTTTTCCCACGTGGAAGAGTAAAGGAAAAGGTCACGGTGTTCCTGAGTGTGCATAGCCGTTTGTTTTACAGTGTAATGTATCTCCATGACCCAATGAAGAGCATTGTGTAACCTAGAACCTCTGCATTGTCCTCCGGTAGAAATATCCCACATCACCATATGGACATCGGACAGGGACTTCCAAGGAATATAAGTTAAAATGGCTTTTGGGGTAGAATGGCAATAAACAAAACTCTGTTTCCTTCTCTTCGCAGGCACAAAGTCTGAACACGACATCCAGTGCCGAGTCGAGGATCTTCTGGCTCGGACTCATCGTGTGCCCCGTCTTCTGGATCATTTTTGTGTTCAGCACCATCTTCTCTTTCAAGATGAAATGGCTGGTCAGTTCAGTGCTGTTGAAAGTGAACGTTGATGTAATTCCCGTCTTTATAAGTCGCTTAATGTTGGTTCATGTTTTATCACCCCCCCCCCCCCCCCAGGCTGTAGTAGTCATGGGCTTGGTTTTACAATGGGCAAACTTGTACGGCTATGTCAGATGCAAGTTCGGTGGACAGACCAACCTGAGAAACATGGCACAGAACTACCTTGGTGCCCAGATTTTTAAACAGGTATGTGAAGTGTAAAAGAATACTTAATATTGTTGCTGAAATGGCAGGATACATTATTTTTATTTGTTTTTTCCACAAAAGGCAATGAAGAAGACAGCGGAAGCTTGAAATTTCAGAGGGCAACCGAGGGACCATCTGCAGTGTGACGGACACGTCACATCTACTTGATACCGTTTTTTTTTTTAATTCTGAGGGGATTAGTGTTTTTGATACAACTGATTTTGTATACTTGTTTATTTCCTCTAAAATCATTGACTTATAAATTCAGTAATGGTTTCCAAACTTTCTATTAATGCAAGAGTTGCCATTTACAATCCATTTCAAGTCAGAGCACAGATAGTTATCATTTCTACTGATGCCATGTTGAAATGTAAACCCTTGATTGTAAAATGAGTTTACCACACAACTGGCACAGTCCTGACAGGCTTTGATGTATTTCAAAATGGGAGTTAAAGAGGTAATGTTTAAATGACGGACTCCTGATGTGATTTAGATCAAGGCAACGCCTTGCATTCAGGGCAGTTTTGTTGTTGGAATTTTTTTCATTCAACTTTTGTATCTTGAATGTACTGTATGCTGTTGTAAAAAGGGCTTTGGGGGAACAATATATTTAAAAGTTAAAAGTTATACTGCAAGCTTTTATGTTTTTTTCAAGCAAACTTTATCAACAACCAAAAATATTGTAAAAAACATTGGAATATGGTAAAGATACGTTTGTGAAACGTATCTATACTTGCAAATGTCACTTGGCCTGATTCTACACAAAAACAAATTTACCCTTGAACTATTTGAATAGATTTTTTTTACAAAAAACAAACTTTTGTCTATCATTTCTAGCTGTAAAATCGTATCTGACTAACGTTGACTGGTCCTGCAATGATACTGTATTCACCTGCTGAAATGTATCTGTCCTTAAACAGCTTTTGACTTAATGGTGGACAAAAACAGAGATGTGATTGCTGTCTAAAGTAATGAAGTGCAGCAGGTGACCTGTGTGCAGTAAAAGCTTTCACTAGGTGGCCACGACAGAACATCAGTGTGATACCAGAGGCCATGCAACGTTACCTGTCTTTTCAACACATTTAGTATTTGTTTACATATATTATAAAATAGGCAGAGGGTGTTAATAAATATCAAAGTCTTCATGAATAAAGTCACTTATGTTGAGGGCGTAAGCAACATGGTCTTTTAAAATTGTAAAGGGAGTATTCAACGACCAATGAATACAAGCTTAGCCATTATTTCATAAGAAATCCAAGACCTAGAAGAGGCAATTACCTTGAAGAATATTTTTGAATTCAAACACATAGGAAATTGATTTTTTCTTTTGTGTATGTGCAAAACAAACCAAACTGAAACCGTGACCCTACAAACGCAATATAGAATTGGAATTGAGGCCTTGTTGACCCAATGCACCACTAAAACTACTCAAATAAATCATGTGACACAAAATGACAGGAAAGAGAAACTCCTATATTAGTTTGATTTTCAGAAATATGCAATAACACATCTTCATACGACACCCAGAAGTAAACTACAAGTAAAAAGGAACACTAAAACATTCGATGTAATACAGAGAAAGTTAGTGCAACCATTACCGAATTCGAGGTAGGTAATGTTGCAATGCCAGAATTTAAGTAGAACCAGAAGAATATGTGGTCCAGTTTGCTGGCAAACCTCTGATTTCTGTCACTTTCCCGCGTCTTTCCATCAATAGCTTCCAGGAAGTTGACCACCTTTTTGAGTATCTGACCATCTTCTTTTACGCCGCCCAGCACGTCCACACCAACCTCAGCTTTGACTTCTGCAGGAAACAAAGCCGCGATCAGAGCAGGTCATACTTAGTTTTTTTGTTTAATACTGTTTAATAATAGTCGAGTTTTCCTCACCCTCGTCTTCCTTCGCGTTCCCGCCTCCCGCGTTCCCTGACACCGGCCCTTTGGAGCGGCGGAATAAACCAAAGCGGCCCTCCGCGGACAACCGCGTCATCACCATGGACCACAACATGCTGACCACCAGGATGACGAGGCAGCAGCAGAAGTGAAACCCTGCGGGACACACAAAGAGGCGGTGAGTGACGCCGTTTGGTGTATTTCGAGGTGAATTGTTTGCGGTGAACGCATGGAGTGGGGACTGACGGATGATGGGGCTGCACTCGCCGTCTCCCGGGAGCTCGTCGTTGAGGATGATGAGGGACATGGTGAAGCTGAGCACCAGAGTGACTTTGAATCCGTTGCGTTCACCTCCTCCCAGCGGCAGAGCGAAGCTGACCGCGTCGGCTAAGACGATCAGAATGCTGGGCAGCACTAACGTGATGAAGGGTTGGGTACTTTTGATGCTCAACGGCACCTGACAGCACAAAGGTCATTGGTGCAACGATATAAAAAATGCTTTACAACTGGTTTCAGAACTCCTGGCTTGAAGACTTGCCATTTGGGAAAACGGTTTTAACAAATAAGAGATTGTTTTTACCCCCTGAAATGTATGTTGTTTTGTTTGAACATCCAGCAGTTCATAACATTATGTCTACACAAAGAAAAGCTACACATCTTCACATTTAGGGAACTGGAATCCAGAAATGTTTTATTGCAGACTTCTTATAAAACCCCGATGAAAGTTTTCCAGGATCACACCGCATCAGGCGCATACAGGCATCCTTAAACCTCAACTTCTTTACAAATAGGTCACTCCTTTGTGGGACTGTAACAAGAGCTCCATTTTGCTAACAAGAGCTTTTACACGCACGTTATTATTTCAGTTAACTTTCATTTAGATGGAGCTGTAGTAATGATGACTTTCCTTCTAGTTTATCCATGCTAACGTGTTTCTGGATTCACACTCTATACAGCAATGTAAAGATGAAATAATTTTTCCAAAGAAGGGCTAATTCAATCCTAATAGCTGTTTAGAAACCACTCTTTTGTGTCCGTGGAAAGGCTTCACCTGGTAGTCTGCCTCTACAGGTGTGCAATACGTGGGTGTAGCTGCTAAACCTGTAATGCGCCAGACGGAACAAGGTGCATCACACGACTCATTTGTCAATCGGCCTCAGACAAAGCGAAGGATGTGTTTGAAGCCCGGCAATCCCTCTGAACCATGCAGGATGACGGCCAAAGACCTGGAGACGGAGGAGGTTCACCTGTCCAACAACATAATTGTACCGAGTCAAGTGGAGAGCGCGTGCGAGCCCGACCCCGACATTCCTCCCACTGGAGTCCTGAAGGAGACGGGTCGAAACTGGGGCTGGATTCTGTCTGGGATCATTTGTATGAACGTTTTAATCCTGGGCTGCGTCTTGGTTAGCGGCAGTGCCAACAATGAGGTGAACATCGGCAGCACTGACCTGCAGATCTTCCTCATAGTCCTCCTCCTCCTCACCTCCTTCTGGATGGTTTATTATCTCATCCACACGGTCAGGAAAGAAAATGCTGTTGACTACAAGGATGGCCGTGCTGGACCTATATGGCTCCGGGGTAAGTCAATATGTCACATCTTTTAGGATGAGAAAGTGTTTATATTTCCTGATCCTGATGTTTAACTAGTCGTTGTTTCCTAAAAGGAGGACTTGTGCTATTTGGATTGCTCAGCATCCTCATGGATATTTTTAAGATAGCCAGCTATGCGGGATACCTCCAGTGCGATTCTGCCGTTAAGGTTGCATTTCCTGCGGTGCAACTCGTCTTTGTACTTGTGCAGGTAAAATGCATATGACAGTATGCTAATTCATTCACTCAAGGCTTTATTTTTGCAAAAGGATTAATGCCATGTGTCTAATCGATTTGCAGACATACTTTTTGTGGATGCACGCCAAGGACTGTGTGCAGCTACAAAGGAACTTTACACGGTGCGTAATTCATTGACCACTCACTGTCTTTTAGGGTTTCTGCTTAAAAATGAGCCTTTCTCCTTTAGCTTTTTGTATTTTAGTTGAAATTGTTTCACTGTCAGTATCAGACAATTCCCCCATTTGCATTCAAAGTATGCAAATATCACCGTATGCAATTATCACCGTATTTTTGATCATGCTTATCTCAAAGAGTGCTGCAATCCACAATAATTATATTTTATATATTGATAAATTAGCAGATTATATTGTTGATTGGTCAAGTAATTTGGCCAGTAAGATGCCATAAATAGTGTAAAATGCTTATCACAATTCCGCAGAGCTAACGTTCATATTCAGCCAATATTAAAATTATATTCCATATAGCAAACCCTTAATTTAAAAGACTTAATTGATATCTTATAAAGATAGTTTCCAGTTGATCCAGTTTGATGATAGTTTATCATCAAAACATCTAGTGGACAAGACAATGTACAACATTTTGATATGAAAACTAAATTAAATCGAAAGCAAAGCTATTACTATTAGCGGATATAGATTGTGCCTTTAAATTTTGTATAAATCTGACATTGAGTAAAAAAAAAATCAGAACTATTTTAGTCTGATTATTTTTTTATTTTAGGGCTGTCAATAGAAAATTATCAATAGAAAAAATTAACTAAGTAATTGCACATTTTTAAATTCATTAATCTCAATTAATGATGCTTAATGAATGGTATGGTTGTTGTTGTTGTTACAATGTTGTTTATAATGAATGTTTGATTTTCTTGTCTAAAGACTACATCTTGAAAGTAATGAGTAATCACTTTAGAAAGTGTGTATTTTAGACACTGTTGTTAATTGTTAATGTTATTTTAAAACACAAAACTACACACATTTGACCATCTTGGAGGCAGAATTCCACCAGATGGAACATGTTGAACTAGAGACTCTTCCTGCTGTCCTCGTGCACTTTGCTCTCAACTCTCCATCATTTAACGGCTGTGTTTCAAGTGCAAACAATCTCCCCAAATTTAGCCAGAACATTTTCAAACCACGTCTTTTAGTGACAGTGGTGGTCCTCTGCAGACTGTGCCGCTCAGGGTAACGTTAGATGTTAAGATATAAGTTGCATAGCAGCTAGCTTAGCCTAGCAGCTAGCTTTAAGTGCTCCGTTTTGCCACTCACCCCACTTCTGTTTGACACGTGGAGTAATTCCTCCGCACAGTTCTCTGCTGTATGTCGCACCTGTTTGTTTTACTTCCAATACAAAAAGCTCTCTCCATCTTGATGTAACTTACTGCAGCTAGTGGCCGTTTCGTTTCCGTGGTCAACTTCCGGTTTACTTCCGGTAAACCGGAAGTTAACAAACCAGCTTTAACTACGTTAAAAAACTTTGCGATTAATGTGGCCGAGATTAATGCAACATAGATTAATGCATTAATGTTGACAGCCCTATTTTATTTTGATTCCCTCTGTTCTTATATAGGTGCGGGCTGATGCTCACCCTCTCAACAAACCTCGTTGTGTGGATCACTGCAGTGACTGAGGAGTCAGTTTACCATGACGCAGCACCCGAAAGTCCAAGCAACATCACTCAAATCTCAGGGCGGAGCCTGTACATCAATAAAAGTAATCCAAGCAGATACATCATTCAAAGCAGATATAGCAATGAGTAAATCACCAAAACGTTATACTTACCTACCTCTCCCTCGTTGTTTCTTACAGCGGGCTATGGAGACGAAGCGTGCACGTGCAGCTACACGTCATGTAGCATCTTCAAGGAGGCCTACTACTACTTGTACCCCTTCAACATTGAGTACAGTCTCTTTGCCTCAGCCATGGCATACATCATGTGGAAAAATGTGGGCAGAGTGACAGAAGAATGTGATGCCAAAATCAAATTCCGTTTGAAGAATATATTAATCGGTCCTGTGGCAGGAATTCTTCTTCTGGTGTCGGGTCTGGCGACCTTCGTCTTGTATGAGATGGCCATGGTTAACGGAGGTGGTGATGATGACCAAAAAGACAAAGCATTGTTAATGCACTTTGTCATGAATATAGTGATAGCGACCCTGATGTCGGTCTCCACTGTGATTGGCTGTGCCATCTACAAGGTGGACCACAGGGAGCACGTATCAGAGAAGAACCCCACACGGAGCCTGGATGTGGGGCTGCTGATCGGAACCTCGCTGGGGCAGTTCATCATCAGCTACTTCACCATTGTAGCGATGGCTGCAACTGGAGCCGAAGGCTACCTGAACAGGCTCAACCTGGCCTGGGCTGTCCTGATGGTGATCCAAATCGGCCTGCAAAACTTTTTTATCATCGAAGGGCTACACCGGGAGCCCTTCCACAAGGTGCAGGCGGCCACTGTGATTCAAAATCCATATGTGCCTCAGCCGGGCAAAGAGGGAAGCAACTTTGATGGATCAGACAAGAACACGATGCCCAGTCCGGCCGTCGCTGCACACAGTCTGCACGGACATACGACCGAGCACAAGCCCAAGCTGTTGTGGAAGAGACGGATTTTGAAGGAGGTCTGTGCGTTTCTGCTGCTGGGCAACATAATAGTGAGTAACGTTCTTACACTCTCAAGGTTACAGCTCCAAAATTCCCCACATGCTAAACCTTTTCTCCTTTCTGTCTTTGACAGCTGTGGATCATGCCAGCATTCGGTGCTCGTCCCCAGCTTGACCTCGACACTGAAACGGAATTCTACAAATTAAACATGTGGGCTGCGATTGTAAATATCGGACTTCCCTTCGGCATTTTTTACCGCATGCATTCAGTCGCTAGTCTGTTTGAGGTTTTTCTGACCTCATAACGCTCCAGGAGCTTACAACAGTCCACTATTTTAACAATTTAAAGTAGTTTTGTATAAATTATAGTTTGTTTTGATGTTTCTTTGTTGTTTCTCAATACATTGGTGAAGTGAATTTTTGTCGAACAATGTTCTGCATGATGTTAAAGCCTGTACCAATTTAAATGTATTCAAAATATTATTCAGAAGTCCTAAAAAAATTGCTACGCTAATCTTTTATGACACATTTTATGCTTCAGCCTCCGCACACTCAAAATAAAGTCAATCAGTAATTTGGTAAAAATAAAATGACTCATCAATTTTCTTCATTATTAATACAAATACAAGTTGTAGTACACGGCTGGTGTACATCCAATTTAACAATGTTCTGATATGTTCTGAGTGGTTGATTTAATTAAGAAAATAATTAAAGTAGTTGTTGGTTGCAGCCCTTTTGTAGGACTTTTCTAGCCTCTGAATCGACTGTATACTGTTTTTTGCAGGTAATAGATTTGTTACTTTTTAAACATTGATGTTGGACTTCCTACAATGTTATATTGTTAAATCAGACTGTAATTAATTTAAAAATATTTAGAAACAATCTAAGTTCATTAAGTTTAATCTGGTTGAAATAGGGGCCACTAGGTGCACAAAATACCCGCAAAAATGAGTCTAAAGTAATGTAGTGCAGCCTGCGTGTAAAGGATTTCACCACTAGGTGGCAAAGACAGAACATAAGTGTTTACAGGAGGCCATGCAACGTCATCTGTCTTTTTCTCCCATTTCATTAGTAAAAAACATTTCACAGTACATTAAATATCACAGTCTTCATGAATGATGTCAGTCATGCTGAGGGCTGAAGCAACATGGTCTTGTATCTAGATGTTCCAGTTTTACAATTGTAAAGGAAGTATTCAAGGACCAACAAACGTGTTGCATCGCTGTTAAATACAAACATAATCATTATTTGATAGGAGATCCAAGACATAGAAGAGGCAATGATCTTAACTTGCTTGATTTATATATTTATGTATTTTGAATTCAAACACTGATTTTGACAAACTAACATAAAACTGTGACCCTACAAACGCAATACAGAATTGGAATTGTGGGCTTGTTGAACCAATGCACCACTAAAACTACTCACATAAATCATGTGACACAAAATGACACCAAGAGAGTAAAGGAGAAACTCCTGTATTTGTTTGATTTTCAGAAATATGCAATAAAACACCCAGAAGTAAAACTACAAGTAAAAATGAACACTAAAACATTTTATATAACACAAAGAAAGTTAGTTCAAACACATGCAACAAATGTAGCAGATATGAGCTGAGATTAGCATGTCTGAATCTGAACAGCTCAGTTAAGCTGTTTTTATAGTGACTGTCTTTAATTAGTACCAAAATTCGAAATGGTCAACTGAACATTCATACGCAACCATCACCGAATTCATGATAATAAGGTATGCACTGCCACAAATTAAGTAGAACCAGAAGAATATGTGGTCCAGTTTGCTGGCAAACCTCTGATTTCTGTCACTTTCCCGTGTCTTTGCATCAAGAGCTTCCAGGAAGTTGACCACCTTTCTGAGCATCTGAGCATCGTCCTTTACGCCGCCCAGCACGTCCACACCAACCTCAGCTTTGACTTCTGCAGGAAACAAAGCCGCGATCAGAGCAGGTCATACTTCGTTTTTTTGTTTAGTAACAGTCGAGTCTTCCTCACCCTCGTCTTCCTTCGCTTTTCCGCCTCCTGCGTTCCCTGACACCGGCCCTTTGGATTGGCGGAATAAACCAAAGCGGCCCTCCGCGAACAACCGCGTCATCACCATGGACCACAACATGCTGACCACCAGGATGACGAGGCAGCAGCAGAAGTGAAACCCTGCGGGACACACAAAGAGGCGGTGAGTGACGCCGTTTGGTGTATTTCGAGGTGAATTGTTTGCGGTGAACGCATGGAGTGGGGACTGACGGATGATGGGGCTGCACTCGCCGTCTCCAGGGAGCTCGTCGTTAAGGATGATGAGGAACATGGTGAAGCTGAGCACCAGAGTGACTTTGAATCCGTTGCGTTCACCTCCTCCCAATGGCAGAGCGAAGCTGACCGCGTCGGCTATGACGATCAGAATGCTGGGCAGCACTAACGTGATGAAGGGTTGGGTACTTTTGATGCTCAACGGCACCTGACAGGACAGAGTTCATTGGTGCAACGATATAAAAACTGCTTTTCAACTGGTTTCAGAACTCCTGGCTTAAAGACTTGCCATTTGGGAAAACGGTTTTAACAAATAAGAGATTTTTTTTTCCCCACAAAAGGGCAGAAAATAGTGGAAAGGTTCAAACCAAAATTCACCTTGTTTTGTTTGAACATCTAACATTACGTCTACACAAAGAAAAGCTACACGTCTTCACATTTGAGGAACTGGAATCCAGAAATGTTTGATTGCGGACTTCTTTTCTGTTGATTGACTATTTATTTGTCCCCGACTGAGTTCCACCCCGAGGCAATCAAACAGGTCAATTGCTGTTTTGTTTCTTTGTTACCACTTTTGCCAGGATTTGGTTAATCGTTACCTATACAAAGTATAAATGTTCTATAAGCTCACAAACTTACCAGGATGAAATTGCGGTCACTCCTCTTTCTCTCGAGCGTTGCATTGCCAGTTTCCCATTCTCCACTGGACGCAATAACCGTCTTTAATTCACCGAATACCAGATTTGTACCACATCCTGAATGAAACAGCTTTTTTAAAAGAAGACTTCACTTACAGAGAAATGCGTCATGGACAGTTCAAAAATAAATAATCAGAATTTTTTTTTTTTCATTCTCCGTGTAGATCCAACACCCACAACACGCCTGCCAACCGTTTGGATTCTGATGAGCAGCAAATAAAATATGCTAATTTAATTCATGGCAATGTCCTAGTGGAATATCAAAACCTCACAACCATTAATGACCAATAGAAAATGGATCAATATCTTTTTCAGAATTAACAATGTGTTAAATAATTAAATTACGCAAATTGACAGTCAATCTGCCCTCAAACGTCAATCAAATGCTGTATTAAATGTGTTGGTGAATTGCTGAGCTCACCCATCCTCGACCAGCCTTGGATGGCAACGGGACATTTATCGCTGGCGAAGGGATAGTTGAACAGGTTGACTTCACAGATCACCTGTGCGTTTATGATCACACTGTGGATCACTGTGCCTTTACTGTTTGCCAGCAGATCAGGGGAGCTGTGAGACATTTCTGTTGTTATTCTGGAAACAAAGGTGAGAAACCACACAGCTGTGAAATCAATATGAAGTGAATTTGCAGTGGTAGTTGGGTTCTGTTCTGTGACTTACCCATTTGTGACGTGGAGCTCTGGGGACCAGATTTTACTCACTGGCAGGATGACTTCATTAAACTGGTAAACTGACGTGTTCCATGCCAGATCAGGATCCGTCCACTCCTGAAGTTTCAAATCAAAGTTATTGTGACTGAAACATACCCTTTGTTAACTATTGTTTTGTATGTTGGAGCTTACAAGGGTGGCTCGCAGACGACTTATCAAGAGGAGACTCTTTGTGTCCTGTTAAAAAAAAGAAGTAATAAATGTGGTTGAGCAATCTCATTGTCTCAAAATGTTCCTCAGATGACCATCTGGTAAAACAATACTTACAACTGACAGAGTCTGGTACTCAAGGAATTTCACAAAAATATTCTGGGTGCAGTTTTCAGTTTGTGGCTGAGATAGATATTCTTTTTTTATTAACATTTCAGCCAGACATCGGCGAGTTGTGCATTGGGCATGTCCATATCCTGAAAATGAGAGATACAAGTGAAGCAAACCTCTGCGTGACTCTTTAAGTCCTTCAGTACTTCTACCTCTCGAATTATTGTGCTGTGAGGCACATTACACTCACCTGTCAGTAAAGTCAGTAAGACGACTGCCTTCTTAAAACTGTGGTTTAGAAATCTCAACATTTCTGGCTAGTAGACTTTGCATATGGCTGAAAACTGCAGATTGACTTCCAGCCGTGTTGCATCCCTTCAGGGTTCAGCCTAACAGGTCGCTTAAATAGGCCCAACTGTGACGTTTAGCCAGGTAATTACAGCCCAACTTGGCACACCACAAGACAATAGTGCGAAAGGTGATCCTGTGTAAACAGTCGGAACACAAGTGCAGTAGTCCGGCTCTCTGTTTACCCGTCAGCAGACACAGACACTGGGATTATGGCTCGTCATGCTATTCTGCATTATGATGTAACTGTGGTCGTCATACAGGACGGTCACTGGAGGCCGACAACAATAGAGGCCCGAGTTGAAGTAAATGTCTCCCAGTCATAGATGCGTTACGGCCATTATATACACATGTGTTTTGACAGCTGGAAAACGTATTCAGGTTTTGTCTTTTTTTAATTATTCATTTCTTTAATTTTAGTTTTGACATGATGGCCCACAAGCTCTTTACAATCAGAAGTAATTAGAAGTGTCATTCATTTTATATTGCACAGTTATATCATGGGGTCGTCCTATTCCAGCGATTCCCAAACTCAAGAATGCCGCGGCCCAATTTGAAAATATTTCGCGGCCCACCCAAACCTTTTATCACAACTCTGATCCAAACATAAACTAAAGAATTTAACCGATTAAAAATGTATTAACCGACAATGTACAGTATGTTTCGTAAACCATTTTCTCCAGAGCTCATGTATATTTACTTTAATACTACAAGAGGCTGCCCCGTTTGACTTCTTTTTGTTTGGCGGCGCCTTTTGTTGAATAACGACAGGCGGACAAGAGCAGCCGTTTCGAGTGAGAGCCTTATTGTTTTATTAATATGTTCGTTTAAATTGTTTGTGCTTCATCAATTAATGTTTCACATACCTAATGTGCCGCCAGAATTGTTCAAATAATACTTAAACTGAGAAAAAGTTTTGCGTTTTGTATCTTATCAATGATCAATCGTGTAAAATAGTAAGTAAGTAAAATACAGAAATTTGCAACCCTAATGTTAGGACCTGGTCTTAGACGCAACAGGAAAGAGCGAGACCACTATCCAACTTTGCATTTTTTTTATTTGGGACTGGGAGAACAGCTTCAGGAGCAAAAAAGGCCAAAATAATAATATTTCTATATTCATTTCAAACATTTCAAAATTGAAAATAAAAAAAAAACCTCTACAAACATCTATTTATCTATCTATATATATATATATATATATATATATATACATACATAAGCACTGCATAAGGAAGGGATACTGTTTCCTTGGTCTGTTTTCACTCCTTGGTTATATAGTCGCTGCCTGTAAATGACAGACTGGCTGGTGTCATTTCAGATTATCTCTCGGAGGAATTTCTCTTATCTCTTTCTCTTAAATCTATTAATATGTGATAAATCACGCAAATGGTACAATGTAATGGGGGTGTCATATTCGATTTTTAAAAACACAACAAGGTGTTTTGATGTGGTCAACCTCTTTGTAACAGCTGTGGATGCTCTTATGACTGCAATAAAGATTTAAAAGTTAAGTGTGACCTTGCGGCCTAATTGAAAGCTCTTGTCTTATCAGAACCCAACTGAGGACAACTGAGACAAAGCAAATCCCGATAGACTAAAGGTTAACTTTCTGTCTAATGAATTATAGAAATTCAAAGAGTAATGATTGAAATATACATAGCTGCAAATGATCTGTACATCATGAACATTTCTCTCCCTTTAAATTTCTTATTTCGTCATTCAAAAGCAAATGTTTGATTTATGATTTATTCCATAAATCATAAATCCTCCCAGATTGTCCAATGGGGTTCAGAGGGAAGAGATTGCTGTGATGTTAAAACAAAATGGAACTTTACCTGAGGACGAGGACGGCCCCCAACACTCTGCAAGCAGCTAACTCTGAGGTCACTTCACCGGGGCAACACTCTGTTTGATGGTCGGCCTTTGAGACACCTGAGAAAATTCGAATTCCCCCTGCAAGTAAGTTGAATTTGTTAAAGATGCTGCTGTCGACATATATTGGTCAAGTGTCTATGTAGAGGAGAAAAACAAATGAACTTTGTGTTTCTACGCTTATGAAGGTAAACATTGTCTCGAAATATTTTAATAGGCTAAATGTAAAGAAATGTTTAGACAAGATATATGCAGTGGGATAGTGAATACACTCTACAGAATACTCCAATATACTAACGTTAAGCCAGTTGGAGGGAAAATAATTTACTACAAGATGCATAAAATAATATTAATATTAACTGGACAAATAAATGGACAAAAGAAGAGAACCACAATTTTTAAGTATTATTGAGAACAAGTATACATCATCAAATACTTTTGTATTAAACATCGCAGCTTGATGTTTTCCAACCTATGGGCAAACAAACACATTTTAATACATCAACTAGATTCTTTTGAATTATTTTGAGCATTTAGTCTAATAAAATAAAACACTACACATGAGAGTTATGAAATAGATCCAGTATATATATTAAGTATAAGTTATAAAACATCCAGTATATCTGCAGGAATCAGAAAATGTATTTCACACTGAAGCTTATTGGTCCAACTAACCTCGGAGAGTCGGAGCCACAACATACTCACATAGTACATCGTGCATACAAACAAAGGGAGATTAGAACCACTACCAGCTGTTGCACCAACATAAGCCATTGCTGGTAATTGCCCCTGCTCATTGTAACTGTGTAACGCGAGGAGGGTGTGCAGGGGGGCCACAGCGACTCTTTTTGTCGGCCTGATTGTCCTGAAGCCGGTTATCGTCCTCCTCTGTGGACTTAGGGATTGGCGGGTGCAAGTCAACTGAGTTTAGTCTGTGACACTCATGAAGAATCCAACAAGCTTAAAGTGCACGTCAACTTGGTAACTTGTGGTTTGTCCGTGCATTTTCCTCTCAAAACCTGTCACCACCAGCCAGAACATTACTGAAGCACTGTCAATCAATGCAAAAGATATATGGGTAACATTTCCTACAGTGCATTAGTAGCAAAAACTAATAATATAAGAGATTTCTAATAATTGACTTGATACATCAAATGTTTTAGGTGTTGATTATAAAGCGTTATGAACATTTACAAGGGCTTGTAACTATAATTACACAGTACACATTGAAAGGGATTTTAAGTGTACATAGAAAGTGTTAAAAAGCGATAAATATCTGATTGAATCTATTGTTTCTATTGTATCTTTGTTAACAACCCATTTAAGCCGACAGTAACATTTGATTCCGATTGTCCTTTGATTCCGATTGTCCGATTGTTCGACGCTGACTCAATCACACGATAAAAACATCAAACGTTTTTTTAACAAAGAGCACGGCTTAAAAAGACGTATTGATCAGCGAGAACATAAACCGGATACGGAGCCTTTCATGAGTGACAACGCAAGCTGCTGCCAGATCGCTGCAGTACACAATAAGAAAGCGATAACAGTGTCCTGGCCTTGATGAGTTTTATGTGACACTCAAAAGCAGGTGGTATGTATGTAAGTATGAGGAAACATTTGACGGTGAACGCTGTCAGGGGTCGTTTGAGGATGATAATTTAACCTTGTGTGGCAGTGATAGAGGTCAAGGTTTTGATAAGTGAATCGACGTATGTGCATTCTTAGGACATTTCCTAAGGACATGTGTGGAAAGTTGAGTTCTAATGGCAAAGACCGCTGACTTTGTTTAACCATAAGGATCATAGGAGTAAAACAAGTGTTGAATATTTGTATTTTCTGTCAAATTCTACCACTACTTGAAGCTAGGGGCAGTAATGATGAGAAACTAGTAAGATTACAGATAACTATTTTAATCATCCCACAGACTGCATATTTCTAATGAAAGAAACAAGTCCAAAAGTCCCTTAATCGTAGAACGATAATGTGTCTCTTCTGGTCTCCTTCCAAAGCCATTCCCCATCAATAAAAATAAACAGGAACATATCTGTACCGTGTTATTGTCCTACATGCCAGACAGATAGCGGTCCCGGACACGGTCTGAGCGTTTATCAATGCCTTAATATCGGGCAGCCTTAATATCACAGATAATGTTCATTTGACGCGACCTTCGCCCACAACAAGCTGCGTTGACGTTGTTTGACATTTCGGTTTGTCTTGATAAATTCTATGACTGAGTTCACGCTTCTTACTAGGAGTGACACGTGTAAATCATGCATTAGCTCAAATTCTCATTATGAACATCACACTGGTCAACAGTTATTATTATTTGTGTCAGTATTTTAATTCTTCTGCATGATTGCATGTGGTCATTAAGGCATTAAGAGTTAATATGAAGCATTTCGCACAACAGCAGTGTCCGTACTATAATGAAACTTGTGATAAATAATCCACCAGCGAGAACCACGTGCGCTCAGTACTACCTTTTTTACCCCCCGAATCACAAATCTTTTGCTGCTGATGGCCCGAGGAGCGGACTGACCTCGGCTGCTTCCTCAAACACAAAGGCCTGTAGTCTAATAACCTTTTGCATTTCACTCGCAGGTGATAAAGCAAAATACTGTCACTCCCGCTTACATGCCAACCACACCTTCTATCACGTCCTTTCCTTTGTACAGGAAACTGAAGGGAGCCCCTGTTCGAAATGAGGATGGAGCGCGGTGAGCAGGCCGTCCTCGACACCTTCTACACTACGGTACACACAGTGGGCCGGAAGAATGAGGGCAGGCGGCTGCGTTACATGCGGCAGGATGGAAAGTTCCCTGTGGTTTTCCAGAAGGCCCCCGGAGAATGGAGCCCGTACCTGATGGACATCTTCACTACCCTAGTGGAAATCCGCTGGAGGGTGATGTTCCTCATCTTTTTCCTCTCTTACATCCTCTCTTGGCTATTTTTCGGTCTCTGTTTTTGGCTTATCGCGTTTGTGCACGGGGACGTCGGCGATGTAGATAACGCACCATGCGTGGAGAACGTGCGCGGCTTTACCGGAGCCTTTTTGTTCTCAATGGAGACCCAGGCGACCATCGGCTACGGCTTCAGGGGCATGACCGAGAACTGTGTTGTAGCCGTCATTGTGGTGACATGTCAAGATCTGTTCAGCTGCCTCCTCGACACCGTCATCATCGGTATCGCTGTCACCAAAATGGCATCCGCCCGTAAAAGAGCTCAGACCGTCGGCTTCAGCAGCTGCGCGGTGGTCAACCTGCGGGACGGCAGCCTTTGTCTGTCGTGGCGACTTGGAGACTTCCGGGGAAACCACATCCTGGAGGGTGTCGCCAGGGCCATGTTAGTTCGCCCCGTGAAACAGCCACAGGGGTCCTTCGTCATGTCATACCAGGAACTGCACATCCAGGACAAAGACATCGTGCTCGCCACGCCCGCCACCGTCATCCACAAGCTGGAGCCCGGCAGTCCCCTCTACGGCCTGGGGCCCGGCGACCTGCCGGGGGACGACTTTGAGCTGGTGGTGTCGTTCACCTACACCGGCGACTCCACCGGCATGCTGCACCTGAGTCGAACCTCGTACACACCGGCAGACATCCGCTGGGGCCAGCGCTTCCAGGAGATGGTGAAAGTGACCAGAGGGCACTATAGGGTGGACTACGCTTTGTTCAACGCGACCACATGGGTGCAGGCGCCCCAGCTCAGCGCCGAGGAGTTTCACCGTAGAGGACGTCCGGCAGAGGACAGGCAGTCCCGCCCTCGTGTCTTTGCAGCAGGACACACTCGCACGGTGAACCCTCACATCACCGAGGAAGTGGTGCAGCAAACCTTTTTGTAGAGCAGCACAAGGTGTACTTGTGATGGACGATTTGAAAAGACGTACCTCTGTAAATATATTTATATGCTGTTTGAAATGCGTTAATCATGTTAATGATTAAATGCAATAAAAAATGTGATTCATACTGAAAGTTGTCAAACTGCACACCGTCTGACACATTATCGGTATTCACTGTTCCTCCTCCTCAATGAACTGCCTGGCGGAGAGGTGGTCAATGACAGCATCTGTCACCCGCAGAAAGGCACCATCAATAATGAACTCCAATCCTCTAACTTCAAATAAATACACATATCATTACATTTATCAGTACCTGGACACTAGAAAAAAGGCGTTTCATAGAGTCTTTACTCCGTGCTAGTTGATAACAGGAGTCCATACTTGGCTATGAAGTTTGCAAACCGCTTCAACATCCGGCTCATGTTCACATTTTAACACCTCAGACGGTTGAATAAAACTCCCGGCTCTTGACTTGGACGTTCAACAGTACATTGACAGAATGTACTCAATTTACAACTTCGCTCTGTTTGTCGCTCTGCCTAGTCCCCCCATCTCTCAGAACGCGGCCTGCTACAGTAACCATCTCTGATTGGTTAATAACAAAGTGACACAAAAGAAGAAAAAGGATCAAAAGAGGTTCAAAATGAAAATAAAGGACATTTACAATTCTTAATTTCTTAAGTTAAAAATATGCTGTCTAATCGTTAATGGGAAGTATATTAAATACATAAATAATAACATAATTATCATGTACATGTAATTAAAGTATGCCAATAATTACAGAAGGCTTATGTCAATGACATAAATCGATGCCAGCGATCATGTTTTTATCCCCTCTGCGGTTCTTCACTGCCACCTTGTGGTCACTGACTGTAGTTTCACCGCAGAGGTACTCTGGACTTATCTGTTTTGTTATTTAACAGAAAATGCACAAAACAATACGGTAGAGTTTCACAACTTAAGTAAATTCTTCAAGCATACTTCGCACTCACGTCGACACGCGGTTTTTTGTTCCAGCGTCATATTTACTTCTCCCCTAAAAGTGAGTTTTTTCCCCCTTTATTCTCCTCGTCTCCCACTCTGACAAATGACGCACCTTCCATTTGGACTCGGAACCTCAAACAAGCGCTGCAGGTTTCTATTGGCCGTCGCGGCCGCGGGGGGGGCGGGGCCGAACACACGTGCTATTAAAATCTCCTCTTTGCAGTGACAAACATCTTCGTCAGTATTGGTGGAGAGGGTAATGGCACAATTCGCAGTGACAGACGGGGAGCTAAGTGAATATAATAAAAGAGAAGCGAAAATTAAAGTGCGGCAGTGGGTATACGTGGCGCATACGGGACGTATAACAACAAGGAAACGACAGACTTGCACCGCTACAACCAACAGGTAGGTGTAATAAGCGGGGTGGGGGGGAGAAACGTATTAGGAGAGTGATGTTGGATGAGTAATGGAGCTACACTGCAAGTACTGATCCCTGTCACTGTAAAAATGCTAAAAACATGTACGGTGATAGAAATAATTGAAATCTTTCATTTTTTAGACTCTCTTACTGCAGAGTGCAGGATGTGGACTGGATCTATAATTTAAAGCTCAACGATAAATAGTGATGGAGAGTGAAAAGGATCATTTTCTAGTAATCTAGTTTTACTAGAATATTATAATTATCAAAGCATCTAAATAGACTGATATTGTACAATGGTGCCATAAAAGCTTATAATGAAACATCCGGTCTGCTGAATGATCCGCCATAGATATTGATTGGTGTTAAAACAAAATAGAGCAGCTTTATGTAACCAGTTTTCCATCTGCCTCAGCTGGTCCCTCTAATTGAGAACACATGCAAAACAAACAATCCCAGGTTGTGCAGCCTCTGGAAGCCTCGGTCTGTCACCATGTACCAACCTGCAGTAACATGTGATATGGTGAACAGATAAGCTCAGTAACCAAGATCCCAGCTGCAATCAGAGTTGGAAAGTGGGAGATGCAATGAGCTCATGTATCACATGCGTATCAACACAAGAAGCCAGAGAAGTAATTCACACTTGGGGTCACCTGTGTCCAAAAAGTATGCACTGTTTGCTGCAGGCTGCATTGGATAAAAGTATCTCTGGAATGCTTTTCCTCTCATACGGTGTAATGTGTGCAGGCTTTAGTGCAGTCTCGTGTTGTCTTGTCTGAATGCCACGATTGGATAAAAAATACTTAAACAAAATGTCGACTGATTGGCCAGCTTGCTCCTTGGCTAGACCAAAAATATAAGTAATTCATTAAAACCAATTTACAGTTTGGTCATTGTCAACTAAAATCAGGGAATCTACTGAACCTATTTGGCATCCTTTGAGCTACGCGTAAATAGGACATATTTCCAATAGTGTGCGGGACAAGTTGCTATTTCTACTTGCCCCGGCAGTGACATCATTAGTTGAGAAAACAAAGGTGACGCAGGGGACTTGTGACCTTGTTCTGCGTATCTTATCCCCAAAGTAGTTTTGATCACTTTAGTGTAATGTACACAACATTAGCTGATGCAATAAATAAATACAAATATAAAAAATAAATAACTATTTATTTAAATGCCATGGAAGTGAAATCATCCGCAGAGTCTTTTTGGATATTTTAATTGTGACACAATTGACCCTTGGATGAATCAGAAGTGGCGATAGGAAGTTATTTTGGCACTAGCAGAGCATATCTGGGTGACCATGGACTTTTGTAGCCTGTGGTGTTGCATTTTAATGGACCTCTCCTGCCACACACACCGAGTCAATAGCTTTTCTAATTTAGCTGCCCTTGCTGCCCTATTACATATGAGGCAAGGTTAGCGTGGGTTTCAGAGAAAACGACCCATCCTCTCTGAAATGCTGCAAGGTACATTAAATTCTGTCACATGACGCAGTGGTGAAAACTGTGGCTGTGCATTCACTATTGTATCACATGTCTTATTGAAACTAAAAAAAAGGAGCACTTCGTAACCCAGATAAAATAGGACTGATGTAATAAGTCCAAAAGTGACATGTTGCCTTCACACGCATGTCCGTGATGAGACTGCACACGGCTGCTAGTTGTATCTTTGTTCGAGTGGCCGCTTGGATTAACATGAACTTGATCTGTAATTTGACAGCTCCACCTGCCTAATTAATGCTTATATTAAGCAGGGTAAATATCCTCTCCCAGCTGTCTAACTGCTATGTTTTTTTTATCTACTAATAACATTCAACGCAAACCCTGTGCTTTGTGACTGAACTGCGCACACTGTTTCTATATTTGCGTGTGCAAGAACAGCACTGCTAAATTTGAGCACACACTGCACCATATTACTGTAAAATAAAACTATTTCTCTCTCTATCTGTAATTCCCACAGCCCATTTCACTGATGAGGTCCAAAGCAGCGGTCAGAGAGGAGTGACCGGCCCTCACGGAAGGCACACAGTACGCCTGCAGAATCTCCGGCCCGCCCTCCACCGTCCCTGTTGTTGCAGGATCGAGTGGCCTCATTTTTCTACTTGATTTAGTCCCCAAGATCCTTCGAAACTGTTTCTCCAACGCTTCTACCAAAAACTTAGACTGTTTTCCATAGCAGAACCGGCCCAGCCCCCCCAGGCGGAAGCAATGGGGAGTGTGCGAAGCCACCGATACAGCATCGTGTCCTCTGAGGAAGACGGCATGAAGCTGGCCACTATCGCCGTCCCCAATGGCTACGGGAACGGCAACGTCAACAAGGTGCACACGGAGCGCCAGCATCAGAACCGCTTCGTCAGGAAGGACGGCCACTGCAACGTGCAGTTTATCAACATGAGCGAGAAAGGCCAACGGTACCTGGCCGATATCTTCACCACCTGCGTGGACGTCCGCTGGCGCTGGATGCTGCTCATATTCTGCCTTTCCTTCCTGCTGTCGTGGTTGTTTTTTGGCTTTGTCTTCTGGGTGGTGGCCCTCTCTTACGGGGACTTAAACAACAAGACTCAGATGTGTGTTTCCAACGTGGACAGCTTCACCGCTGCCTTCTTGTTCTCAGTGGAGACACAAACCACTATCGGCTACGGTTACCGCTACGTGACGGAGGAGTGCCCCGTGGCCGTCTTCGTGGTCGTCTTCCAAAGCATCGTGGGCTGCATCATTGACGCGTTCATCATCGGTGCGGTCATGGCCAAGATGGCCAAGCCCAAGAAGAGGAACGAGACCCTGGTGTTCAGCCATTACGCTACAGTGGCCATGAGGGACGGTAAACTTTGCCTGATGTGGCGCGTGGGGAACCTCAGGAAGAGTCACCTGGTGGAGGCCCACGTCAGGGCCCAGCTGCTCAAGACCCGCACCACCGCCGAGGGAGAGTTCATCCCTCTCGACCAGATGGACATTGACGTGGGCTTCGATAGCGGAATCGACAGAATCTTCCTGGTGTCGCCAATCACCATTGTGCACGAGATCGACGAGGACAGCCCTTTCTACGAGATGAGCAGGCAGGAGTTGGAGACGTCGGAGTTTGAGATTGTAGTGATTCTGGAGGGCATGGTGGAGGCCACGGCCATGACCACTCAGTGTCGCAGCTCCTACCTGGGCAGCGAGATCCTGTGGGGCTACCGCTTCGAGCCGGTGCTCTTTGAAGAAAAGAACTACTACAAAGTCGACTACTCTCGCTTTGAGAACACGTACGAGGTTCCCAGCACGCCCCACTGTAGCGCCAGGGAGCTAGCCGAGAGGAAGTCGGACGCCTCCAGCTCGAGGAACTCCTTTTGCTACGAGAACGAAGTGGCTCTCGAAAAGGTTGAGATGGAGGAGGAGTTCGATGTGGAGGAAAACAAGGAGGTGAGGGGTGTTGAGGTCGGTGCGCTGGAGCACACAAACGCGGATGTGGTCTCAGACTCTGATGGCAATCTGGACTCTTTGCCTTTGGAAACAAGGCCGTTGACAGCAGAATCTGAAATATGACTGCAGGTAGAACAAGAAAAACAGAGGCAACTACCACAGTGTGTGTGTTAAAATGAATGAATCTGAAGCTGATGGCTGTTCTTTATAGAGCATGACAGTTTGTAAAAGGCTGCGGACTGCAGACGCTTGTGAACCACACACATTAAATGTTATGGTGAAAGCGGTGATAAATGAACTGGTGGCATGGAGCTAGACGTATAATATAGGCAAGATGCCTTCCCTTACACACTGTGCAGTCCACCCTTCTTAGAATATTTTTAGAAGTTTTAAAGGCTACTAAACCATCTACAGCATCACACCTCCTGCACAAAAGGTCACCGGTGGTTAATGAGCTGGTCTCTTAGCGAAGTATATTCACGGCCCTCTTCAATGAGGTGGTCTTGGTGTTCCTCTCATGGCTGGACACAGGAAAGGACACTACGCTCCTCCGGGCCATCATCTTGCAACGTGCGCCTTAACGAAAAAGTCTCAGTCCTGCTATAGGCACTCTGAGCACACACTGCAATAAATGTCACAGGAAGAGGAGGCATTAAGAGGTGATTCACTGGGCAGTATACTGCCACTTCTCGCAGGTCTTTATTGTTTTATGTGCAATACCAGTCAGTGGTAGAACGTGACGGTAAGCTCAACCCTGAGCCAAGGTCATGAATGTTGGCGATAAGTGCTGCTAAGTTACATATTATATGTTTAGAGGAAGATCTTGGAGCCAAAATGTATTATTTGTCTTTTAAAGTATCTATTTTGAAGATTGCAGATGCAAACTATAATGTTATTTCTAGATGTAGACGAGCATGATTCTATCAATGTGTTTTCCAAAGCTTTAATGTACTTTTTGCTCTCCAGAGAATTTTTCCCCCACATAACAACACAGACTGTTTTAATAACTTAAAGCCAGATGTGTGCATGTATTAAGGAGACAACCACCGGCACTCATCTGTTAGTTGATGTCGATATGAAACCAGACTTTATCCTCACCTACAACGGTTTGCTGTTGAGCTTATTCTGACGTAGTCTGCTTTAATTAACATCAGTGTTTTTTGGCGTGGCGGACTTGCAGATGTTGGACACATGCAGATGTTGGTAGCCGTGGTTACCGCCGATGCTTAACCACTGCGGGTCTTGTGCGGTTATTTGTTATTTCTGAAAGGGCACTTGACTTCAGTCCTGCATAAGAAGGGTCTTTAATGTTTCTTAACAGTTGTTGTGACACATTTAGATCAGTAGAAGCCGAACGCTGTACTGCTTCTTTGCTAAAGGGAATTAGAATTAAAACATGTCATCTGTTCTCAAATTGACCTTTCTCCTGTCTTAGCTCTTCATTTTTCTACAAGGGTCTTCCTGCCTTCCTGCACAAACCAGAGACTGTACAGTTTTTTAATTATCTTTTGTAAATTATTATGCAAATACTGTGTATTGACATTGCAGTTGTTGAAAACATTTTAGGTCCTTTTTTCAATAAAAAAAACAAAAAATAAACTTGATTTTTTTTTTTTATTCTTAAACAAACAGTATTACACTACTATTATTGAAGGTAAATAAACAAAGGCGATTCAGTGACTGGCAGCATGTGTATGAGTTTCTAACTTATTACTAATTATTAGAAACCCCTTCTATGTTTACCTGAGTTAAACGATGCCTCCGCGGTCCACTGTGCACAAAGTTTCCACTGATTTGCATTTTGACCCATAATGTGTGACATCTGGAGACCCGCTCTACGGTTTTAGCTGTGCTTGTCTAATTTGGAGCTGCGGCCCAAATACCAGCCTGCTTGCCGTCAGAGCTCACACAATCATTTACTATTATTCACTAGACTGACTCCATCCGGTTCTGTGAAAAGCCCAGAGACCCCGCGCGATATCAGTCGCCTCCGCCCGAAGTCATTTTCAGCGACGGCGATGGAAAGAACGTCTAATTCCGTCCGTTCAATCTCTCCCAATAAACAGTGGAAAATAAGTGTACTCTGCACCGCTAAGTGTCTGAAGAAACAATGCCGATGTCTACAATTAGCCGCCCAATCTGAAAAGATCGATACAAAAATATATGATACAACAATGCTCACTTTGTCCTTAAAATGACAAAAAAATGACTGTGCGTCTAATCCAGCGCGGACTGCAGAACAGAATCTATATGGTCGTCTCAGAGGTGGACGTGCGCCTGCAGTGTGACACAACTGTCAGTAAATTTAGTTAGTTTCCATCCACAGCTGCATTCCGCCAGCATGAGACGCAGTCGAGGATTCTATCGATCAGACACGTCCGCAGTGAGGCAGTGAGCCGATTTGATTTGGTTCTACATAGGAAGTGGTTGCTGCCTCGGGGCATTTTCCACATTAGCCAATGAGACCGCCACAAAGCTCCGGCTTGTAGAGGAAATGAGGACTCTCCCCTTTTTCTGATCAAAAAACGCATTTTAAATTACTCGATGTAAAAGCTAATGCAGTTTTTTCCGCGGTGACCTTTGCTCCTTTGAAAAAGGCCCCTGCTGTTCTCCAGCAACTGAAGCTCCGAGACGACGCGCGCCTGAAGGAGTTGTTGGTTAGCTCTGTTTGTGCCGGCTGAGCTGTTTGAGAGAAATTGACAGCCGGCGTTGTCCACAGAGTCAATGATGCCGATGACGTCTCTCTGGTGGATTCCCCTGAACGGCCTTATTAAACAGGTCCGCTTGACCTCTAGGTCAGATGGATGAATACAAACAATATGTCAACACGGTAAACACATGATTTTGTTTTGTGCTAAATGCAGTAATTGGTTCAAATACAACACATAAAGGGAAGCGGACCTATTGCATGCTACAAAACTAAAAGAAAGAACATGACAAGTCAAAGTGTGGCATTTGTGCCATTATTACCAGCTTCAAAAACACCCCTGGTTCATCTCAGTACTTAGAGTACTCGGTACTTAGAGACAGTATGAACACATACATTTAGATTGTGTTAAAATGCCAGGCTTATTTATCTCTCAGGAGGACGTGCGTGTAGTCTGGATAAAGTCTTTCCTGAACACATTTAGAAAAGGTACTTTATCAGAAGAATTATCCGGCATCATCTTATGTGGGGCACGTCCACAACCGGCAACTTTATAAATAGCTGTGGCTGAATGTGTTTGGCCTAGATTCATGTTTTGAATGTGGCGGCGAGGTCAGAAAATAAATCTTTTTCTAGATAAAAGAGAGTGAGATCTCTGACTGAACTTCAGTACTTGACGAACCTGAAGCACCCACAGGTTTATCCCATCATCACAGACTTCATGCAATCTGCCAGATGTGACATCTCTGCAACACTCAGCCTCTCCATTTCTTGTTACTTGTATAGGAAAGGAGTTGTAGCAATGGCGCTGGGTAATTGTACCAGTTGAGTCACAAAGACTTATGGCCTCAACAAGTCTGCAACTGGGTCAGAAGTTGAGGACAGCAAACTTTTTCCGAGCCTGGTGGAGTCAGTTAGACTGGTACGGCCACAGAAATACCGTACAACGCAACTAGTTCTGAGTTCATAATTATTGGTTATCAGCTTTCTCATCCGCCCCTCGGATGACACGACCGATGACAAAATCCCCCACAACGCACCGTCCTTGAGTGCAATGGGATTCAATTTGGTAATTACATAACTTGGATGGAGGATCTGACACCCGCTCTGTCAGTCGGTCAGTGGTGGCAGGTGAGGATTTGTGACACGGGGAGGGGGGGCAAGCATGGATACTCACCTGACACTGAGGGGGGATCATGATGCCGTTCATCCCGGGACCTGCCGGCCAACATGAAAGAAACAAACAAAGACCTTTAATACGTTTTTGAAAGAAAAAAGAAATCTTCCCCTTTGAGGGCATGCAATTACTTTTACTCCTGAAGAACAGCTTCAATGCTGGCGGGGGGGGGGGGGGGGGTGCGCAGGTTTTCTTGTTGCACTTGCTTGATGTTGGGGCGTGTGAGCAAAGTTGTTAGTTTGCTCGATTCATGCAACATATTCACATTCGGCTCTTGATATTTAGCAGCAAGAGAAAGACGCCTGGAAAACGTGGGGGCGCAAAATAGCAAAAATAAAAAATTGAATTTAATAGAGGCTCCAAACATCATTTATCCGTGCTGTTAATACATTTGAAGCTATTAAATGATCTCTCTCTTTGCTTGGCTGCTCTTTTCCCCTTTCCCCCTGCATTTAATCATAGTTTTAGATATTTTAAACTATTATAACCTCCCACATGCAGACAAACACACACACTCTCTCTCTCTCTCTCACACACACCTGCTGACACTTATGGGCTCTGTCATTGACAGCTGAGTGTCTCTCGACACCCGGGGCAGAATCCAGCAGGTACAATATGTTGGACAGGTTTCTGTTTTTTTCCAGTCCGGCCTGCTGAAATATAATCTGCACATTCATTCCCAGTGACTATGACTCACGGACCCCCATTACATTAAATAGTGTCCGACCATTATGCATGGCTGGTTTAATGATTAACTTTACTGTCTATTTATCATGCAACTCCTTCTATGTTTGTGTCCGAGATTGTTTTCCCGCATGTTCTCGTTGGTGCAGAATACATTTACAGCCTTGCAATCTCAATGCTGTCTCTCAGCGTCTGCTCGTCTATTAATGCTGCTGACCTCTACCCTTCTGGCTGTGGCTCCTCTGGCCTTAACAAATGCATTTTGAGCCAGGAAACAAAAGTGATACCTATATGCTCGTCGTTGGCTCCTGAACACAGGCTGCCTGTAATAAGAGGACTTGGCTCTGTGTGGGGCGGCACTTTGTTGCGATGGAGGCGCGTCGGTGAGTGAGCCACATCCGTTAACATCCGACTGGCTGACTTCTATTCACAGAGCCCGTCTCCCACCATAACAAGGCCCCGTGCGGCTCCGCTAAAGCTCAGCAGTAACAGCACGCAACCACTGGTGCCTCTTTTTCCTTAAACGTTTCTCCGTCACTCTTTCATTTCTGAGATGAATTATTTAACTATTGTTCCATCTGTGGTTTTCTTGTCAAGGTCTTTACCAAACTCAATATGTGAAGCAATGAGGAAATAAGAGAATACAAAAAGCTTTGGGAAACATAGGAATTTAAAGTACGGGATACTTGAGAAGGGCTTGTTTATGAGGACAGCTGAGAAGCGGATAAAGGTTACCATCAGCTTGGTCATGTCTGCCACTATGTTCATGCATGAAGGACCACCAGCTGTACATCGTAAACATTATGCTTTTTACTGTCTGCCAAATAGTTAATGTTGGCTGGCTGTAATCTAATCAAATTATATTTTCTTAAGATTGTCACCCATCACATTTATATATTCAGGCTAGATCTGCATTAACATGCATGGATACCATGATACATGTTCACACTATTGTGTGTGGCTTTCCTATACTGAATCCCTCTAAACAGGATATCCTGTATACTGACATGTTGTTACACAATGATCTAAGCACAAGGCAGAGATGCTGTGAGATTAGTAGATACGGAATAGTTGGATTAAACATGTTTCAAATTATTGGATCAAATTCTAACCGTGACAATTACAGCTTCCCCTGAGGATTGAGCGGTTTCTGCTGCTGGCTCCATGTCACTGCTCGTTCAGTGTTATTCCCTGTTTTTGTGAATGGAGCTGACATCTTTCCGTTCTTTGTAAGGCCCATCAACCCTCTCAGGACAAAGCAGCTTGCTCACCTAAAAGACAGACGAGGTCACCATGACAATGTCCAGGCAACTGGCGACGTCATCTCCAGTGTGGATCTCTCTGCAGCACCAGTAGGGAGAAACTTGGAATCAAACTCTTGCTGTTGGTTCAGTGTTCAGAGATAGATGAGGGTGGTGACAGTATGACACATATGATATTTTGGTTGGCTAGTGGGAAATGCACAACTCCCTCATGCATGTCTGTTACTCACTTTCACTGTTATTGTAACGGCTTTTGTTATATTTATTTGTAATAAAATCATACACAACATCAATTAGATGTATGGTTGTGCGCTTGTTTGCTGATTTCAGTTGGATGGATTGCCATTGAATCCTCACCAGTAATCTACAGTCATGTATTTTTCTATATATTCATCTATATTTGTACGGTGGAGCAAAATTTTCATCAACCTCAGCAGTGTGTGTTTATTAGTGTTACCATCAGCAAATACTGTATAGTCTTGCTTCCATGCTGAATGGAATTGAAACAAACAGTATATCAGCCAAAGGCCGATATTGTCATCTTAAGTAAAATAGTGAGCCCACTGTGTCTACAGCCTCACAAGCCTTACAACCACTAACACTTCAGAGTGCAAAGTTCATTACGGATAAATATTAATTCTGCATTTAACTGTAACTACCTAGTAAACCTTAATTTGATACAATTATCTGATTTTTGCATTTATTTGCTAAATTGTACGCTATCGAAATATACATTTCTCAGATCCATATGTAATTGTTAATGTGTCACTACATTTCTCCATGGCGGTCTAACATGTTTTGGGAGTTGCATTGGCATGGGAAACCTTCT